CTGCCGGCGGGGCGGGGCGGGGGCGGGGAGAGGCGGAGGCGGAGGCGGGCCGTTCCTGGCCGAGGAGGCCCAGCCGGGGGAGTTGCGCCGTCTGGTCGCGCACGGAACGGAGACCTTCCTGCGCCGCCTCCCCCCCCCCTTTGCACGCAGCGGGGAATCGGGCGCGCGTGGGCAGCACAACGCCCGCGGGCGGGAAAGGGCTGTCGCCATTTCGGTTATTTCGCCTCGATCGCGCCCGGTCGCCGAAGCTCCCTAAAAGGGTCTTGCTGGTTTTTGTTTCCTTCGCAGGAGCAGCCGCGAAATGACTTCTTTCCCCGCACGTTCCCGCCTTTTTAAAGAAGATTGCTGAAGTAAAGATTTGGGGCAACCAAATCCAGGAGCGCCGGGAGGGCATGCAGTGTGTGTTTCTGCAAGAGTGCAAGAATTGTTTTTGTTATTGAACCCAAAGCGCAACTCCGGAGCTCAGCGTATACCCAAAACAAACCGTTCACATCTTCTGACTTCTGGCCAAACGTGCATAGCATTGCACCCTTCGTATTTTATTGAAATCATTATCAGATGTTAACATAGTTTTAAAGTATATACAGCAGGCTCCCCTTATCCGTGGGGACAGGTTCCAAGCCCGCCAGCAGATGCCTGAAACCGTGGCTAGCACTGAACACTGCATTAGCAGTAGTTGGGGGCACAGGCCCCCCACAAAAGTGGGAACACTCTGAATCTTCATTCAGAGTGCTGAGACAAAATGTGGCGTCCCCAAATAGAGGTCACCATAGCCTAGAGGTATTTGCAGTTTTTCCGCTTTCGTGGGCATCCTGTGCCCCAAACCCACATGCATGTGAATGATAAATCGTGAAACAAAGTGCAACAACACTTTGGTATATTTTGGAATGCTATGCTGTATTTTCTCTGTTGTGTGTTTTCGTGAATCTTGTGCAGTTTTAAAACACCCAGAGGGCTTTGGCTATTGGGAGGTATGGAAATAATGTTTGTAATCCTATCTGAGTGGGTGTCCTTCCAATGTCTTTGCGATGCAGGAAATCTCAAAATGGACTGATGGGAATATGGACGAAAATACCTGGAGAGCTGTAAGCTGCTCACCTTGTTCTAGTCCATACTCCTGTTTTCCCCAAAGGCCAAGTATCTGCCTCTGCAAAGCCCACTAGAAAGACGGGGGCAGCTAAAAGAGGAAAGTCTGTCTCTACCCACCCATCAAACGATGCACACTGTTGCGGGTAGCAGTGCTGATGTCGGGCAATGCCTGCATGCAGGATTGCCGTGCGCACTCCTTGACTGCCAGGCATGGGCTTCTCTCTTTCCTCCACCCCAGCATTATTTTTCTGTGCTGAATTTGGTCCAGACAAGTCAAATCACTCTCGGAATGATAGCAAAGTAACTATTGGGAACAAGCGCATGACTCAAACTTTAAAAACAACACCACTACTTGGAAAAGCAGCTCAACAGAGGGTGATTTAGACTAGGGAAGCCGCAGCGGGAAGGGACGCTTGTCCCGTGATGTTTGGGGCATGCTTAACCCATTTCCCACTCATCCTTTCTCTGGTGCAAATCCTCCCACAACCTGCTTTTCCAAATGGCATGTAGGCAACCGTGCAATTATCTGGAGATGAAAGGTTGTTTGGGGAACAAATCGGAAAGGAGAAGAGGCAGGTGGGAAATGGCTTAAGCATTCCCCCGACACACTTCTTGGCTACAAATCCCCAGATCCCTTAATAATTCTTACTACATCTTGCAGTTGGTAGTTAGAACTCGTTCTCTTGGATGCACACCTTCATGTGGTGAGAGGATTCATGAGTGTAAGGGAAACGGAGAGCAATGCCAGTTTATCTCACTAGGCTGGGCTCCTAGCAGGGTCGGTGGAACGGTCACCAGACTCAGGTGCATACACCTCTTTGGGAGTATCAGTCACAACAGCAGAGGAGGATGGGTGTCCCTAATGTGATGGGAGCAGAGACATTTCTGAAGGACAGTTACTGGGTGGTGGCAACAGCAGCTGAAGGCCACACTGGTGGAGGATTTTTCATAGATAATGGAAGTGGTGTTCAGGCTTCCTCTGGCTAGCACTATGTGGAAGAAGGCAATGATAAACCACTTCTGAGTCTTCGTACTTTGCAAGCCCCATTAGGAAACAGTCGAAAATGAAACAAGAGAAGGTGAGCCTCTGAAGTTGGAAGACACTCAACGGGCTACTGGGGAAGAGCAAAGGGCAAATGCAAGTAGCACTGCACCGAGATCAAAGCCAAAGGGAAGTCTAATCGCTGGCATGCGCACAGGCTAAGGAAAGTCCGGTGCTGCAGAACACATACAATTGGGCCATGGAACCTGTGCGGTGTGAAGCAAGGCAAACTGGAAATGTAAACTCAGAAATGGAACCGTTAAATATTGCAGTACTTGGTGTGAGCGAACTAAAGCGGACTGGAATGGGACATGTTCAGTTTGACAAATATAAAGTGATTTACTCTGGGAACCAACCCAGAATAAACAAAGTGGCTCTAATATGGAGGCAAGATGTAGCGCAAGATGTAAGGGGTTATAATGCGGACTCCAACGGAATATCAGTATTTGTGGAAACCTATTAACTAAGCCATCATTAAAGTATGTTTGAACAATGGATGCTGAAGAAGAAATAGAAATCTTTAAGGATCAAGAGGAAATTGGTAACACGTCAAACAAATCATCCTGATAAACCCAGGTGACAAGAATACAAAAGTAGGAAGTTTTTAAAAAATCAGATTAGAGCAGGAAGAGGCTGTTAATAGAAGCAGTGCCAAAACCCAATTTTGATGACATGCCAGAAGAATTTAAAGTCCACATAATAAACAGATTGATATTTCTCAACTCAATTGACCATCAGCTAGAAGAACGGGGGGGGGGGGGCATACTATTGGGCAGGAGAAAATAAAGGATGGAAATAATATACAGAAGAACTATACAGAAGAGATAAACCATGACAGACTCCTTCAAAGAGGAATCCTATGAGGAAGTGCCTGAAATGTCAGCTGTTCTGAAAGCACTTGGAAAGAACAAAACAGTTGTCCTAGATTGGATACTAATAAGAACTATTGACGACATTGAACCAAATGCTGACAAGGGTATGACAGTAGAAAAGAAAAAAAAACCCCAGTAGCCCACAGACTGAAGATGTTAAATATGCATTCCAATCCCCAAGAAAGGAAATGTGAAAGAGTGTCTCAACCATAGGGCTTTTGAACTAATTTTCCATGCATGCAAAGTGATGCTCAAGGGTTTGCAGGAAATATTTTACCCTATATGGCATGGTTAGCCAAACGAAGGCTCGCAAGCTGCAAGCGGCTCTTTTGAGTTCATTTTGCGGCTTGCAAAGGGGCCGAAATACATCAATGCACGATTCTGCTTAGGACCAATGAAAGAGGAGCAAACAGGAGCACCTTCCAGCAAAGCCGCTGTACTACAGTGTGCTTTCTCTAATTCTCTAATCCTGAACCTGCCAAGGGGGCGTCTGTGATTGGCCAGTCGGGCACGAGCCTGGGCCAATGGGAGCGAGGCCACATGTGGGAAGAACAAAACTGGGCGGCTTGCTACGGGCCAGAAAGCGCACGCGCCGTTCCCACAAGACATCCTTGGCTGGGGGCGCCTAACAGAAAGGCAAGAATTTGCTCCTTAGGAGGCCTGTGCTTCAAAATAGCCTGGAGACTCCCCAGAGGTGGTTTGGATGCTGTCATTTGGCTTCAGCCTACCTCAGAGGGTTGTTGCGAAGCTAAAATGGAACGTCACTGTTCATCTGCAATGTCCTGAGCTGCTTTTTTTTTTTTTTTTTAAAGGACAACACTATTATAACCTAACATTGCTAAAGAGCCTCTTCTTACTTGACAAGCTGGTTGCATTTCCTGTTGTGGAAGGGTTTGCTGTGCATAATACCTTTGTAGCAAGTAAACCTTTGTGTCCCAGCTGCAACATGTCACTTGTAGCAATATCTATTTGGTGAGAATAAATAAATAAATACTTGGACATAATAAATAAATAAATAAATATTTCTTCATGTCTTGTGGCTCTCAAACATCTGAGATTTACTATATGTGACTCTTCCATTCAGCAGGTCTGGCCACCCCTGATATAGGCAAAGGCACTGGACTAGGACTAGTATTTTGTTTCCCCAACTGATCAATCTGGAAGTAGAACATCTCATAAGGAAAAAACATCTCTTAAGGATAAGAGGAAGGAGTGAAAATTGACAGAGGAGTTGTCAATGGTTTAAGACATGCAGGTGATATTATATTCCCAACGGAAAGCAGCAATGAATTGAAATGACTCCTGTTGAAAGTGCAAAAGCAGGACTGCCGCAGAATATGAAGAAAAGAAAAATCAAGGCCACAGAAGAATTACAGAACTTTTCTGTCACGAATCAAGACATTGAAAATGTGAAAGGTTTTTTTTTAATGCCTTGGTTCAGGCATCAATCAAATGGAGACTGCAGTCAAGAAGTTCAAAGAAGACTAAGACTTGGAGGGGCAGCAGTGAAGGAACTGGAAAAGGTCAATTGTAAGGATGTTTCATGGGAGCCCAAGGCCAAGGTCATCCATACGATTGTATTCCCAGTCACAGTCTATGAGTATGACAGCTGGACAACGAAGAAAGTGACAGGAAGACAACTGATGCAGTCAAAACATGCTGCTGGCGGAGAGCTTTGCAAATACCTTGGCCTGATGGAAAGATGAGCAAATGGGTCCTCAATCACATCAAGCCAGAATTTCCCCCAAAAGCAAAAATGACAAAGCTGAAGCTTCATAGCTAGTGCATAGCATCACAAGGCAAGACTTACTGGAGGAAACAGCCCTGCTAGGAAAAGAAGGCAGAAGACAAAAAAGACCTAGCACCAGATGGATCGATTCCATCAAGGAAGCAAAAGCCTGGAAGTTACAAGAGCTGTGAAGGACTGGACATTTTAGGGACGTTCACTCACAAGATCCCCAGGACGCAGGGACAACGTGATGGCATATGCAAACTAGAATATGACACTCGGGTTGGCAGTTAATAGAAGGTTGCCCCTTACAGGTCAGAATTGCCTAGAAAATTCTTCTGGTGGCTACATTCCATTTCCTCTGCTGTTTGCACACTCTTTTACATTTTAACTTTCTTGTAACATTTTTGTAATTAAACTTACTAGTAGCAGGGATAGCCATTGAAAGTACAGGCAGTCTCCAGGTTATGAACGAGTTCCATTCCTGAGAACATCTTTAATTTGAATTTGTATATAAGTCAGATCACATACATAGGGTCATATTTAGCATGAGTAAGCCAAATATTTGTCTTAGTATAGTTATATATTTCCCTTTCTATGCATATTATACACTTAAGATATACTTCCATATACAGTTGGCCCTCCACATTTGCAGGGGTTAGGGGCACAGGACCCCCATGAAAGTGGCGAAAACTGTGAAAACCCCACCCCGCCCCCCAAAACCTTAACTCTTATTACTTTAACCATATGTGTACTGGATTGCTTCTCTCTCGGTCCAAACCAGCAGGGCTCCTTTGTTGGTTACATTCTCACGTTCATATACCCCACCCTCACTCACAGTGCCTCCTCTTTGCACCAAGGAAATGCTGCAGAAATTTCTCTCTCTGGATGGACAGACCAAGAAGACATGCTCTCCCCCTTTGCCTTCTCTCTCTCCACGGTGATGATCATTTTCCGCAGTAGGCTGCAAAATTTCAACATACCTCCCATTTAATTATTGATGGCAAACTCATGAATAATTAAATCCACAAAAGTTAAAAACTTGAAAGTCAAGGTTTGACTGTACAACATCTTAAGCACAATATAATACTTTGATACAAGTTATGGAAGGCAACATTAACTACACATGACCAAAACACACTGGTTTGGGTACACTTGAGCTGATGAGTAACTATGGAAGATTTTCATGAGCCTAGCAAACTAGTTCCCCTGTTTGTTATTCCAAATCTTTTGTCTTTAACTCAAATTTTAAAATCAATAGGCTTTATGGCAGTTCATTCATAAGTACAGATGTCTGTAAATCAGGGGACTGAGTTTGCAACTCAGAGGACTGAGTTGCAACTCTGGGGACTGCTTGTTTGCAACTCTGGGGACTGCCTGTTCAATGATTCATCCTCTTAATTTGCACCATTTCCAGACAATCCATTTTGTATGAACAAAGTATACACTGAAGTGGCAGTGATTGTATCATTTTAAACCAAGCCTGGAATTTACAAAAGCTGAGTGAAGCTGTCATGAAAGAGGACATTTGTTCATAAATCAGAGAGTGACTCCACAGCACATAGCAACCGCAGCCCAGTGATGCATTTATTTTATTATAGTTTTGATTAATTACAGAATAAGTGTGTGCACAAGCAGGAGACATGACTTTTATACTCATTTCTGTATTTTCAATACAGGATTAAGGATACATTCTTGCATACAATGAAGAGAGGGCAGGATCCTGGAAAAGGGCCTGCTTTTTGCCATAGCATGTCTCAAACATGGAAACCACAATATTTAAAGGCAATTTAAGCAACTGTAAATTGAAGAGGGAGGTGACTGGCCAACAGCTTGTTAGTTGTTCATGGTTTCTTCCAAAGGCATCTCACAGGGTGGTTTGTGATCATTTTTGTACTTAATTCCAAAGAAACTGCAAATTTTCTTCAACATTAGGTCAACTATCTCTTCCTCTTCTGATGCCTTAAAAAAACATGCACACACAGTTTTGTGAGTGTGGAGAGGGGATTATTTGACTCACATAAAATTAGGAATGATGATAATCAAGGAAGGAAAAGATGCTAGTTGGTACAGCTTCAAGACCAGGTGAAGAAATTCTTGTTTATATGTGACTGATTTAAACTGTTCAGCCAGGGAATTGATGCTAAGCAACAGCAACACTGGGTTCAGACACATGATAAGCTGCACTCAAGAGCTAAGTGGGTTGTCACTGAACCATGGATTATCATGTCGACTAAATCCAGACAAAGTATCAATCCATGATGAACTACACACAGTGCACAACCTGACAACAGATCATAGACTCTCTTCATGAGCTATTGGTTAAGCCATGGTTTGTTAGCACAGCTGGTTCAGACAACACAATAACACATGTTTCAACAACCCATACTTCAGCTTGAAAGTAGGAAATGATGTTGTTTGAGTCAAAGTTTGTCATGGGGTGACTTTGTGGCAGCTTGTATTTTATCTAGATCTAGATACCCAGCATCAGCAACGAAACACAAGGCCTGCATCCTTGAAAGCTTTCAGATGAAAAGCTACACAAACATTCACTGAGCACACTTTAGCCTGGGGTTAGGCCACATGTGGTCTTCCAGATGTTGGACAGCAACTCCCATCAGCCCTAGCCAGCAAAGTCAATGGCGAGGAGTTGCAAACCAATTACATAAGCAGGGCTACAAGCTGCTTACTCCATTTTTGGGCTATACCTAAGTATTCATTAGCCTGTTCACCCAGAATGAGTACAAATCACCTTCTAGCAAATAGAAAAGCTGTACTAACTGAAACAGACTTTGTTTTCTCCAACTCCCACCACAACATTTAGGCAAGCTGAAAACATTTCTATGATAAGATAAATGTTGTAACCTTTCTGACTTTTACGAGGAGTGTGTGATGGAAGGGTTGGATGTAACACTTGTTCACAACTGTGGCACAGTAACTGAGAGTTAACCAAGGGTTAAAATCTCTGAAAAACTCTGTTAAAGGCAAGTTTAAAGAGTGCATAAGCACTAGAAATGCATTACCATCTATGGAGGATTTCTCTCTCTCTCTCTTTTAAATGTCACTTAGAGTTCTTGTAAACGAGAAGCCCTAATTGCAAAAAGTAAAACAAATAAAACTTTCATAGCCCGAATGTTTACTCAGAAATCCTGTCATGTACAATGCAGCCTATTCCCACCTTTGTCTTGTACCCTGGCAGTCAGAAGAAAGGCTCTTCAGAGCTCAGAGGACTTCACTCACAATTAAATATGCCCAAAATGGCAGACTCAAAATTCAGCCACATGCCAGTTTACTCAGGGCTTTTGTGCAATTTCCCATTTTTGCTTTGTTTCAGCATGGGGGAAATGAGCTATGAAAGTGCAATGGGGGAAATGGTGCTCCAAGACCTTAAGTATTTGCCAGCTTATTTCTGCTACAGCACCGTTCCACCTAGAGCAGACCTGGGCATCGTACAGCCCACAGGCCACATCCGACCCGATAGCTGACCCTGACTGGCCCGCATGAGGTCACTGGCAAATTAAACGTCAATGCAAATATATATCGTCATAAGATAGATGCAAGCAATACAACTGCACTGCTTTTATTTTGAAGGATCTGCTAAACTGAATTGAATTTATTGCTTTTCATGTAATGTTAATGTTTTTGTGAATATTCATTAAATAGTGTTGTTCTGTGCTCCACATTTTCATTGTATCATTGTTATGTTTCATTTACTGTTTTTATAGAGATATATATTGAGCAGAATTGTAAGTGTATTGGTCCGGCCCTTAACAACTGTCAAAGTTTCTCATGTGGTCCCATAGGAAAATTAATTGCCCACCCCGACCTAGAGGCTGTGCAGCAGAAAGTGGGAAAGGGAGAGAAATCCAATCTGTGGTGAAACCAGCAGTAGACACAGCAGTTAACAGCAAACTAAATGCCTTGTATAGAGAAGTCCACCGAAGTAGGACTACTGGGGGCGGGCTTCATTGCAAAATAACTTTGAAACGGACATAGGGCCTTGTTAGTCTTATGAGTTAATCCAGTACTTTAGTGCAGTACGTAGGCAGAGCACCCAGCAGGGCTGGTTGGTCATACTTTTTATTTTATTACATTCACATCCCACCCTTTTTCCACTTGCAAGGAACCCGAGACAGCTCAAATAGTCCTCCTCTTCCTCCTCCTCTCCACTTTATCATCGTCACAACAGCTCTGCAGGGTAACCAAGCGGAGGGTCATTCACGGGCCCGAAGGCACCCAGTGAGCCTCATGGCCGAATGAGAGCGAGAGCCAGATTACTGCATCCCATGGCTCTGGCTGCTGCAACAGAGCAAGATGCACAAAATACCTGCGTAGACAAACCTGATAATGTTTCTGCTCCTCACTGAAAGCAACGAGGATCACAGAAATAAAGAGATTCAGCACCACGAATGTCATGAAAATTATGCAGGAGCCAACTAGGAAGGAGCCTAGAACGGGATTGTAGTCCAAGACCTGAAATACATACAAAAACTGCAATAAGGCATTTTGGTCTCTTACCAAGAGGAGAGAAAACTGGTTTGTGAAGTATTTAAAAACTTTAACTATGGGATGACCCTTGTAAACTTCTTTGTGGCCTGGACAACAAAGCAACACATTTTGAAAAAAAAGTTTGTTTTGTTTCATTCTTGCTTAACACAGAGTGGGTACTTCCTTGTCTATTATAAATAAGAAATACTTAACATATAAGCATTATTTATCTACATATGCAATTTAAATTCAGCCTTCACAGATACTCTCAGGACAGCGATACTGTAAGTAAAAACGATTTTAATTTTTTCAAGTTTTTAAAATAGAAGAATGAAACAAAGCATCAATAAGAGGTAGGTGTCATGAGTTGCTCTCCTCTCCTGTAAATAGTCTTCTCCAAAGCTGCTTTTCCAAAAGACTTATTGTCACATGCCTCTGAGAACACACAGAGTGCAATGTTGAGCCCTTGCTAACATTCCTCATTCCAAGCCTTCCTTATAGCCCTTCTGCGTTTGGCTCCTGCACCTGTGAATCAGGCCTGCCTTCGCTCTTCCCATATCTCACCGAATTGAACATCTGCCTGGAGACCGGCCCCATTTCTTCAGGAGGGGCTTCAGTGTCAGATCGGCTGCCAAGTTTCCTGCCCTCACTCCCCTGCAGCGGGGAGTTAACACCTAGGCATGCCTTCCCAGAAGTGTGTGTGAAGGATTGCAAGCACATATTCTTTCCCTGCCTCCATCGCTGCCTTTCCTTTATTCACCTCGCTCCCCTGCGGCCACTTTAAGGTTGGTAGGGGCATCTGGTGCCCCCCGCCATGCGTTTCAGACTACAGCTTCCAGAATCTCCCAGGCAGCTCTGTAGTCTTCGTAGCGATGGAGAAGGCTGCCCTATACTGCACACAGCAATGGTGATAAACAAAACGACTAGTCAGGCTATTTATATTTATTTATCCTGCTGCAGTTTTAAGTGAGTGGAATGCCATACCTCTTCATAGTTAAAGATCCCTAGCTGAAGGCTAACCATGGTTTCCGCTGAATCGAACAGCGTCTTGTAAGTGTTCAGCTTCCAACCGTATATCAAATTTGCCTGCAAATAAAAAAAGGATGTGTGTATGTTTGTGTGTGTATGTATGGAGGGAGGGAGGGAGGGAGGGAGGGAAAGAGTATTGCATGAAAATCAGAAAAGCTGGTTAGCAGCTGACACACGTCCCCCTGGAAAGGTTCTTTTCTCCATGACAAACACAGGAGAAAACCCCTTCAGAATTCAGGGGAGTACTTAGGTTAATTTAAACAGAAGATAAACGTCACCTATCCGTGTAACTATAGAAAAAGAGCTCTGTGCGTGAGGGATGCTCCGGTTTTGAAGCCTAACTGCAGCTGCTCTCAGTTACTTCCTCAAGCCGTTTCCTTCCACCCAGGAGCCTGAGCAGACTCTCCTGGGCAGACATGCACGTGCCGCCCGTCCGTAGGCCTGTCACAGTGAAAGCAGGACGGAGGGTTCCTGCGTGGTGCATTACAGGCGGGGATGGGGGGACAGGACACACGGACAACCCTCTGCACAACCCTCTGGAGTTGGGAGTCTGCTTCAGCAGGCGCATGAAGTATTATGCTATGCCACTCGCGTGCAGACACACGGTTGGAAGTGGGGGGCATAAACTGGCGCGGTCACAAGGGAAGGTAGGGAAGAAAGTGGAGATTATTAACAGTGGACCTTCACAGTACACATCCTTGCACTGGTGAGCTGATGGGCATTGGCTAGAACTTTTATTTTGGCCGGTGTGATGGGAGCAGGGCTCGAGGAGCATTCCTCGCAACCCCTATTTTCCAGGGACTGAATACCGCAGTCAGAACAGCAGTTGGGGAGGGAGTTAAATTCTCCTCCCTCTAAGTGTCCCTGATCTCTCCTCACCTGCCCGCCCCGTGTGGCCACTGCTTTCATTTTAGAGGAAGGACTTGTGCAATGCAGCAATGCGTTTAACGTAGCGTGTCCTTTGCCCCCCACCTGCTGTGCCGGAGGGCTGAAAAGCAGGAGCAAGCTGTGCAAGCTGACAGCAACCTCCCCCCACCCCCCAGGGAGAGGTGAACTGCATGGCTACTCACTGCTATGGAGTAGGCAAGGAACATGATTATGATCACAGTTGCAAACCCTGAAATGTCCCCCCAGGCCCTCCTCAGGGTCGAGGTGATCATGTTCAGCTTGGGGTTCAGCCGCAGGAGATGCCAGAGCTTCACGGTGGAGAGGAGCACCAAGAAGGCAATCAGGTAGCCCAGCACTGCATCAACAGTCGCCGTCTGGCTGAAGTTTGCAAACCTGAGGAGACAGGAGGAACCTGGCGAGCCAGCATGTTGCAGGGCTCCCTGGCATTCTCTAAGCTTGTGCCCACCAGCTACTACAGCTGACATCATGCCCAACCTCTGGCCATGTTGGCTGGGGGTGCTGGGAACTGTGGTCCAGCTCAATGGGAGGGCAGCAGCTTGGAGAAAACTGACAAAAGACTGGATTAGGGCCGGGCAGACCTGAGCAGAAATTCTTGTTCGGCAATAAAGTTGACAGGACGATCGTGGGCCAGCCACAGTCGCTTGCCCTAACCTACCTGACAGGATGGTAGGGGAGAACACCAGTGTTGCCATGAGCTGCTTGAAGAAAGCGTGGGTTAGATGAATGCTCCCCCAGCCTTCACATGGAGCAGGCTTAGAAACAAAAGCGAAAACGAAAAACTAAAACAGGATAGCAAGCTACTCCTGTCAGAGGAAAAGGCCAGCGATTGCATCTTTGGTTGCATTCACACACACACACACACACACACACTTTAACGCCTGATAACGTCTTTGGAAACAGTAAAGTGTTTATCTAAAAAAGATCCAGGCAGGCCTAGAGTGCAAATCAAAGCAGCTCGTGAGCAATTCTTCCCCAGGGACTTCTGCTGGAATGGCAAGTTTGCACAGTGCTGGGGTGATGCATACATACTCATCTTTGTGCTCCTGATAGTAACTGATGTCCCGTAAACCCAAGATTGTCCGCCTGACAAACACTGACAGGGCACTCCAGCTGAGCAAAATGATGGCAAGCTCCAGAAGGTTCCACTTGCTGTGTAAGTAATTCCATCTCAGAGTCCACATGAGCTTCCCCTGTTGGGACAAAGCATTTGGTTTCCAAAGGAGAAAGTATTTGGATGGCTCAGCCTTAGAACTGATGAATAGGAGTGTGGCTGGAATGGGGGTAAGGTTGGACATTGTTGTTGTTGATGTTCCCACTGGTGGGCTCTTCTGTCTTTAACAGCTGCCTGGCAGGCAAAAAATGAACATGGAGGTACAGTTGAAAGTGCCCAATAACTAAGCTATTCAGCTACTCTGTAAATTAATTTCATTGAATCAGAATAGTAGAATTGGACGGGGCCATCAACTCCAGCTCCCTGCTCAGTGCTGGCCTGTCCAACCGCCTCTCGCATGACTCAGGTGTGGGAGAGTCCGTGGCCTCCCTAGGTCATTAGCTCCATTGGCCTAATGCTCTAACAATCAGCAAGTTTTAAATGGTCATAACCATGCGGTGTGTGCCAAGGGCTGAGGCAGCACATGCAGTGAGACAGAAGATCCCAGGGCAGCGCCACAGGACCTCTTCCATTCTGAGGGCCAAATTCCACTTGGAGATGCTCTCAGGCAATGCATTTCGTGGGTGAGGAGGGGCAAGAAACCAACCTACTGGATTGTTTTAGCTCAAAGCACTCATTGATAGCAACGAAGCCTCCAGAGAGGCAGAGCAGTCTTATAGTGGGAAAACCTGGAAAGGCACCAAATGATCACCAGTCCAGGGAAAGGGTCATGGCCATTTGAGAACCCCCAGGAGGTCAAACTGTGACCCCAGGAAGGCTGGGCTTAGCGCATGGGCCTGAAAGTTGCTCACTCCTGCTGTAGTAAGTTCATTTTTCAGCTCAGCTTTAAACTCACTGAATGGCCTTGGACTTTATTGGTAGATAGACTAGAACAGAACAGAAAAGAATAGAGTAGCATAGTTGGAAGGGGCCTATAAGGCAACTTGACATGCCAGCTCAACCCATAGCTATGCAGATAGGACAAGTGAGAGATGTGGTTTGTTCAGCCCTTGGTTAACCCATGATAGCTGGGTTTGCTTGCCACCCCCTATTGGCCAGGCAGAGGCTGTATATTCAGCTGTACATACCCCCGACACACTGTGACTAATCAAGGGTTAATTAACCCACAATAAGCCACCTTGATATATGAACCAGCCCGTGATCTTAGTTCAGAAGTGGGGGACCTGTGGCCTTAGATGCAACTGGACTCCAACTCACTTCCATCCTAGTCACCATGGTCAAGTATGAGGGGAAGTGGCCCAGTATGGGCCCAGCTTCACAACTTTTATCTCTAGCTTTGTTCAGAGACTGCATGACCTGGGTTTCGAGTGGGAGAAGGCCATTGCTCGCAGAGGTGTCCAGTTTGTCCCTGTGCTGAACTAGATGGACCTTTGGTCTTCTTACCTGTCCCACCATATAGTAGACAACAAAGAGGAAATAGATTACTTCAGCTGCTACCACAAAGATATGCAGACTATCTGTATATGGATAAAGCCGGACACTCTGCAGTTCTGCCCGCATGAAGAAGGCCCCTATCAAATCAAAGCAGCAGGTATAAATTCCGCAAACAGAGTAAACTTGCCTCTACCTGGAATAATTCATCTTGCCAGTTTGCTTCTTTCCAGGAAACAACACTGTTTTGCATATTCTATTCTGGTGTCTATGCTTGCTTAAGTGGCCCGGTCCACGCGCAAGCGGCAGGGCGATGCCGGCATTCTGCCACTGCCACACATGTTGTGCCAGCCGTCACAGGCACCCGGCGCCGCACTTTTGGATTAACACGGACACCGCCCCCACCCCCAGAACTCCCTGTTCCTTCTGAGCTTCGGCTCGCTTCCCCTAGGAACAATCTATCGATCCACAGTACTGCAAAGTATTCTGGGGAGCCTGGAGCCTAAATGAGCCATTGTGAAAAGCGTACTCCCAGCGGGGATGGAATCAGAGAGAACACAGGAAGGATTGGAAGGATGTCGGGAAGGATGAACACGGCTGTCTGCCTGCAGTTGCGGCCTCTCCCTGCAGATGCAGTTGTGATGAGCACGTGCACTTCACAGGTCACCACAACACCACTGGCTAACATGCTTTGTAGATGGGCCGGTACATTCCCTAAATGCATTTAAAGCAGACGGACATTTATACGCAGCAGCCACATAGGCTGGGGTGAAAAAGATGCTTAAACTGGATATTTCCGAACCAGTCCGATAGATCCAACAGCAAAAAGTCGGAACGACTTGTTATCTTTTTATGGACCATGTGGAATAAATGTTAGCTGGCCAGAAGAGGTCGCTGGAGAAAACAGGGTACGCTCTGATGTACGAGTATAGTTGCTGAGACTAAACTCTTAATCAGAAATCCATAAATGATCTGGAATTAGCTGTAAGGAACAAAGTGGCCAAGTTTACAAGTGACAGTAAACGTTTTAGGGTCGTTAAACCCCAAAGGGATTGCAAAGAGCTCCAAAAGGATCTCTACAAGCTGGGAGGACGGGCATCAAAGTGGCAAATGCAGTTCAATGCAAGCAAGTGCAAAGAAATGCAGGTTGGGACAAAACACACACCAACTTTAAGTATATGCTGATGGGACTGGAGTCGGTAAGGGGTCTTGGGGTGATGGTGGACACCTCAATGAAGATGTCAGCCCAGCGCAAAGCTTCCTCTTCTACACAACTATTCAAGCTGTGCAGACCCGGTTGTGTTTTGCCACAGGCTACCCTGAGACACAGGGTTGCCTTGTAATATGAGGAGTTAATATTAGCGGCACAATGACCCAGGCATGCCCCAGGATAATAGAAACCCCGCTCTCTTCTTGCTCAAAAACATTTGCGCAAATGCCAGGCTCTCACCTAAAGCACTGGTTTCAAACATGAGGCTGACAATGCAGAAGAGGTTTACATTAGCGTTGTAGACGGTGAACTCAATGAATACGGCTCTCGTGAAGGTATCCAGCCAGGTATTGTTAAAGAGGTATTGCAGAATTCTGGCAAAGAAGAAACACAAGAAATAGAAGAACAGTGGAAAGAGCAAACCCAAGGAATATATATGACGGGTTGCACACTGCAGTGGTCTTGCAAATGCTACAGGGTTCCCAAGTATGGGGAAGAGCTGGCAATACCCGAACCGTCCAGAAGAACCTAAAGGGAAAACCCCATTTTATGTCCCAGTAAGGCCTTCATTACATTCAGAATAGCTTTTTACCTGGTTACCCTTACGATGTTGTTGTGGTTGTTGTTGTTATTTATTAAATCTCTAGCCTGCCCATTAGCCAAAATGACTCTCTGGGAGGCTTCCACAAATATAGAACAACAGCATCCACAATAAAACAATAATCTTAAAACTAGCATAAATGCTACGGCAATGAAATGGCAACAAGAAAACACAAGAAACCTCAAAACAGCCACAATTCAAATTAAGCCAAGGCATAAAAGCAATAAAATACTTTCTAAAAATTACTCTATTAAAATATTGGGCAAATAGAAAGGCCTTTGTCTGGCGCTGAAAGGAGTAAAGAGAGGGCACCAGGAAAACCCCTTTGGGAGCTGATTCCAGAGTTGGGATGCCATCACTGAAAAGGCCCTTCTTGTGGCCACCCTCTTCAGCCATGTACTCACAGATCTCATATCCCCAGTTTGAGCCATTCTGCAGCTAACAGCCCCTACTTGGGACACAACCATGCTACAAACTGAAACTAGGTTAATTAGTATAGCTTCTCTCTGAAGATTCCTGGGAATTGTAGTTTTGTGTGGGAACTCATAACCTGTCAGAAAAGGCCAGTGAGCCATCTGACAAGACTATTCCAAGAGAACCTAGGAATAACCCATGCAGGATGTGAATAACCTACAGCACAGTTTAGACTATACACACCTAGTCTACACTGGAATTCTTCTAGCTGTTCAATTGCTTAAAATGTGTATATTGCAAAAAAAAAGTTGTTTCATGCTATTATTATTGTATTTGTGCATGCTGTGTTATGAATTGTTGCGATCTGCCCAGAAAGCTTTGGGTGGCACGGAAATGCAAAGAAATAAATAATACCACCAGTTTTAAGACTGTTGCTGTGAAAGCCAGAGCGGTGTAGTGATTAAGAGCATGGGGCTGGGCCTTAGGCGACCTGGGTCCTAGTCCCTGCTTAGCCATGTCTTTGGGCCAGTCACAGACTCTCAGCCCAGCCTACCTCACAGGTCTGTTGTTGCAGGGATAAGATTGAGAGCAGAGGGAGGAGGATTCCATAAGCTGCTACAACCCACTCTTAAGGCAGGATAAAAATCTAATACATAGAAACATAGAAACAGAGTGAGTCAGAAGGGGCCTTCCGGGCCATCTAGTCTGACCTCCGGCACCAGCTGGCTCCGCTCACAACATGCCCACCATGTGCATGTCCAGCCTATCTTTGAACATCCGCACCAATGGGGCCTCAACGACCTCTCATGGAAGCCCGAGAGAGAGAAAGAGAGAGAGAGAGAGAGAGAGAGAGAGAGAGAGAGAGAGAGAGAGGTCTCTCATGAAATACATGCATAGATAAGGGAGAGTAGTGCCACAACACATTCCCTAAGGTCAAAACAACCAAAAGAAGCCCATTCAAAGCATTGCTGCTCTTGCTGCTGCTTCTGAAGACACAGAAAAAGCAAAGTTAGACATGCTGGCAATAAGGCAATTCTGGAATTTGTATTTCTCTAATACCTTTTACCAGGCCACCTCACTAAGCATTTGCAAGCATTAGTAATCTCCGGGTTGCTTCATCAGGCCCAATCTTACAAAAAGTAGGTGTGGGTCTGCATGTGCCAATGGGGAAGAAGAAGATTTTTGAAAAGGTGACCCCAGGGCAAAATCCTATTTGTATGATCACAGGCTTAAGATGAACTGGAGGGTTTGCAGAGCTTCAAGCTGGGCCCTCCTGCCAGGCTGACCACAGGTTTCACCTGGAAGTGCCCAGAGGATTGGGAACAAGAACAATGATCAGATCCCTCATTTTTGAAAATATGAAGCCCAGCTGTTGCTGGGAACTGTGCCCATCCTAAGCAAAACACGCAGGTTCTTTGGTGGAAGAACAGAAGAAAAGAGAAAATAAAAACTCTTTATATTAAAGATGATGCTTGGGCATTCATTCTGTCTACTGACTGACAGGAGGCATCCTCAGAAGTCCCAGCTTCAGGAGCTATGAAACCCTCTTCTTCCTGCTGCATTGCTAAACCCAGTATTCTCTAAGTCAGTGGTTTTCAGCCACTGGTCCGCAGACCAGAGATTTCTTGAGGGCCGTGGGGGGGGGGGGCTGTATCCCGCTCACTCTGGACCAGCATGAGGGCTGGCTGTGCTACTCCACCTTTTCTTCTGTTGGCACTGCATTTGTGGGGGTGTGCCTCTGCCCCCTGGGGGGCAGGGAGCGGAGAGGCAGCTTGGTGGGAGCTGGCTGGGAGCCCCACGGCACCAATTTTGGTACTTTGTTCTTTTGTTGGCATTTTTTGTTGCTCGGTTTCTGGTTGTTTTGGAGAATTTATTTTTTTGGTAATGTGTTTAGAAACTAATACAAGGAATACTGTATTATGTGTATGGTGCTTTTTGTTTCTGTCTCAGAGATCTCCGAGGTGCTTTTCCTGTTTTCACCGGTCCCCAGCTGTGGAAAGGTTGAACACTGCTGCTCTAAGTTACACAAGAGAGTTCTTGCTTGACTGGAGCGGGGTTGTCCGAAATGCTGCTTTGGGCTGAGTGCCAGCTGTGCTGCATCCCCATGGGGCACAAGCCCCACTTGCTGTGGGAGACCCAGCAGAACAGGAGAACCAACTCAACCTCAAAGAGATCTCAGAAGTCATTGTAAAGAGAGGAACTGGGCCCATCAGATTTCGACAGGCATTACAGTATGGGCATCCAGAGCACCCCTGCCTTTCCGAAAGACTTCAAAAGGTGCCATGTCAAAGATTGCAGAGAAGTAGGGAAGGCGGAGTGAGGAAGGGATAAATATGGGCAAGAAATTTGTTCAGATCGCATTTTAATGTGAACTTAACTGTTTTCACCTTGTGGCCAACATGCAAATGAAACTTATTTATTCTTCAATATTTGTGTACCTCTGAATTATTTGCAATAGAATTCTTGAATCAAAAAGTGTGCATTAAAATGCATGCGTCTGTTAGCAGAAACTGCTCACAAGGAGGTGTGTGTTAGGCAAAAAAGTGTTAAAATACACCTACAAAAATGCACAACTGAGTACAAAGTTTGATGTCAACTGATCAAAAATAAAATCAAAGTTTGGGACAAACCAAACTGAAGACTGGAAATATTCTCAGTGCTCAGGACAAACCAAAAGAAATAGAAACTCAGTTGTGTCCCTCTTTAGTAAGCCTGTAGCAAATCATAACTGGGGGTGCATCTAGCCCAATCTTCCTGGCAATGCTTCAGAAGGGATCTTTCCCCCCAGCTCTAACTGGAGATGCGAGGGATTGACGTCTGCGGCTCTGGCGTGTGGTCTGGCACTGGGGTCCTTGCCCCCAACCCCATCATCCTCACAGCTACCCCTCACAGAAGAATGGTTTTGAGAATAAATCAGATGGCGCTGAAGCAGTGCACTTGATAAAGACTGTAAGTGGTTAGTGAGGATTTAGTGAGGACAGTGAGAATTTCCTCAGATCCTGCGTTCATCAGGGGGCCTGTGGCAACCTACAATTGTCTCACTGGTTTCAGCTGCAATCTGCTAATACCAACAGTAACCCATCTTACAGGGTTGTTTTATACATGTGTAATGTTTGTAAAAATTCTGAATATTTAAAAAGCATTATATAAATACCTTTTATTATTAGCTACAAGCTGATTGATGGACTTTTAATCAATTGGTCCCATTAATCCTATTTAATTAATCCAGCAATTTAGTTTGCACAAGGTTACATCAGATGTAAATATTTCTAACTATTTTCTAAAGGAAGACAAATGCTTTCTTTGTGTTTCAATGATCAGAAGAAGGATTTTAAGCAGTCATGACCTTTGGCCAGGCATTCCTTCTCTGTGTGAGAGATGGGAGGCAAATATCTTTCTTGAGATAGTGTTGGTAAACTGCCCATAGAGCTTCAGCTATGGGCAGTAAAGAAATGAAATAAATTAATAATAGTCTACATATCTATGAACCCTTTTCTTAAGTGTGCACTTGATTTTCTCTCTTCCCCTCTCATTCCTTCACACACACATAATGTACTACCAGATTACTAATTAAACTATTTATTAGTTTAAATAATTAAATTATTAAAATGAATTTACAGTTCTAAAAATAAAGCACGTTTAGATGGACAAAAGGCCTACATTTCCCAGCATTTTCCAGCCTGCACAATTAATGTATCAGACTTTGCAGACCATTCTCATATAACAACAAAGTTCAAGCAAGAGAGGGAAGATACCTGGAGGCGTTGCAAGAATCCGTCCCCAGGTGAACCACGTATCCTCCACCTCTGTAGACAGCCAGCTTGCCCCAGGTTGCCTGTCCTCTCAGCTTGGACTGGCCCTGATACTGCCATGCGGAACTGAGCTCCGAGGTATTATCGAGAGAAGAGATGTTCCACCGCGCTCCGTAGTCCGCCATGTCTTCAGTGTCAAAGGAGTAAGCAGCGTGGCATTCTCCAGTTGTTGACTGCAGTTTCGGAGCTATTGGACAGGTGTTGCCCCTCACTCGCACCTGGCGAATTCGTGCGCTGCCCACCAGCTTGGAGTTGCCATCTGTGATAAAGCCTGGTTGGGATTTAAGCGGGGAAGAGGGGAGTGTTTGAAAATGAAATTCGATCTGTAATCATTTGCAGTGCCCTCAAAGTTAATTTGTTCCCCACTGACAATTTGTTTAATTTAGGCTTAGGATGTTGTGACTCAGCATGGAGCATCTTTGTACCTTGATATGAGCCATATAAATTGTTAATTAAGGTTGTTCTGGCCCATTTAAAGAAATCCTGGTAACTTAAGATGTCTTGGAATCCATCTGTGAAACTGCTTTCAATGTGTTTATTGAGGAAATAGGAGTTAGGATCTCGTTGTCCGTAGGCGACCAAAAGCAACATCCACAAGAAAACCAGGTAGGCTGGTGAAGGAACAGGAAATATCAATAAGTTAGGTTTCCAAATAAAAACAGATGCAGTGTGCATCCAGCGCACCTTAAAAGGAGTTCCGTTAACTAGGTGAAAATGACCCCATCACCAAGATCCCATCCCATAATGAGCTCCTAATTAGTTTCCTTGGGTTCATAAGAAGCAAGCATGTTTCTGCTGTTAGATTCCCGGGATGTCTGTGATGTGTGTATGATTCGGGTGAAGATGAAATCAGTTTCTCTCTTGAATCCCTGCAAACTTCTTGATGAGGACTTCGCTAGGATGCAGCCTGCTGCCTGTGGATGCGATGTGTCTCTGCAGAAGGGCGAAGGTGTGGCAGATGATGGATGCAGCCAAGCATCCCTCAAACCATGTACGGAGGAGACCCATCTCTCTCACACAGTACCATCTGCTCAGATAGATGTGTCCGATTCTGAGGTGGAGGTGGAAGAGCAATGCAGGACAGAGGACTTGGCAGTTTTGAGGTGACCTAGTAAAGATTCTTAAACAGCCTTGGAAAAGGAAGGGAACTTTTTAGAGGGGCAGGAGAAGTAGGGAGCGTTCAGTGGCCCCATGGGTCAGATTGTAGGTGGAGCAAGCAGGCCGACTCAGAAGCGGCAGGCAATTCACCCTCAAGCATCTCCTGAGGGTGGAGTTGGAATCTTTTAAAAAACGGAGAGCAGGAGGGGAAGTTTAACTCTGGATGCAGCTCTGTACATGGGCAGATGTTCCTCCCACTTCTCAGGGAGAAAGCTACTTGGATTCCCACTGTTCTGCAACCTCTTACATTTTAATAAGAGAACAGTTGGTTGCATTCTGAATCCCAGCCAAGTCTTCATCAAGGCCAGTCTGCAGGGATTCAAGAAATAAACTGTTTCATCTGCTTGCCCTGAATCAAACACGCATCACAAACATCCCAGGAATCTTACAGAAAAAACATGCTTGCTTTGTATAAACCCTAGTAAACTAATTAGAGCTTGTTACAGAGGACCTAGGAAGATTTGTAGTCTGCCGAAAGAGGGGAGTGAGCATCTCACAGCAACCCCCCTCTCTTCCATTTCTTTAGTTCCCACCGTTCTTGCTGAGGTGCAAATTGGGACTTTTACTACAGCATGGGGGGGGGGGACTTACACCTGCATGGAACTATGGCTTGGCCTCCTTCAAAAGGACTCGGATGTCATTGTTAGCTGATGAATTCACACGCATGAATTCACACACAGACCTAGTTCTTATGGAGCTGTGGTAGACCTGTGGTCCATGGGCTGGACAAGGACTAGAATTTAAATATCCATTCATTTTTAAATCTACACTCCGACATGGCGTGCACTGGGTGACTGTGGGCCAGAAACTATTTCTTTCATTTTGCTTACTTCATTGTGAAGATAAAATTGGGGGTGAGTGGATAACAAATCAAGGAGATGGCCTTGAACTCACTGGGAGAAAGTTGGGAAAGGATAAATATGATCAACACACAATCAAATGCCATTTCATACAGCAGGTGGGGGTCTTACATAATGGAACAGTCCTCCATAGAGAAACCCACAGAAACTAGCAGGTTAACAAGGCTTGGCCAGAACCAGATTTCCTGATAAGTTTGTTTTCGGTGTACGCTGACTCCCCATCCCCTGCCTGAGGATGAAGCACTCGATCATGTTATCCCCAGCTTGTGCTAATGCAACAAAAGCATATCATTTCATTGAGAAAATGTGATGTTCGTTTTGGACTTTGCATAATCCGGCCTAGTCTCAAAACTGATGACCAGGCTGGCTTGAGCTGCCGTTGCAGTGTTGGGCTTGCAAATCAGATCTTGTTTTAAAGCAGGGCTGGACAACTTTGGGAGGTGGAGAAGGCATTTTGAACCCTGGGCTATTCTCAGACATAGATTGGTGGTGGGCTGTGGGACAGCCAGCCTGGGGGTGGCAGGGCAGCCTGCACCCTCCCCTGTTTATTCACCCATAAAATTATAAAAAGTACCCAGTATTTCTTTAATCAGGGCAAACGCTTTCTGTTCTTTGATGTAGTTGCTCTTCATTTTCTCAATGTCGGCGGCAGGGGGAGGCTGGTAGTTGTGGCTCCCACTGTCCCGACGGGCTCCAAAGATCAGGTTTGAGTCACCTGTGTAGAAAGAGGAACCTTATTAGTAGCCAGGTTATCACCTGGAAAAACAAAATAAGAAACTATTTGGAGGTACCCAGAAATCCCTGAGTTCCAGGGTAAACAGCAGTGCCTGGGACTCCAATGTCAGCAGGGCAGCAAAGCCACCCTGGGCCTGAAATTTAAAGCCGCCATTCACGGTGCTGAATTTATTTATGGGGACAGAAGGCTTGACACCTGGGAAAGCTCCTCATGGTGTTTCCAGACATGCAGAGGATTTTGCCCTGTGCAAGAACCAGGAAGAACGACTGAGATGAGGGCAAAGATGGCGGCGGGGTGGGTGGGCGGCCACCTTGTAACAATAGACCCTCGTGAGCCTCTTCAGCCCGAATAGAAATATGGGGATGTGCTGCAAATGCTCTGGGGGATCAGATACAGCAAAGGAAAAACTTCCTGTGCATAGTGATAGCCATGGGCAAATCGATAGCACAGGCTTATCTTGATTTTATATCCGTTCAATTGTCAAGGCCTTCTCTGAAGATCCCAGGGAAATGTAGTTTGCTGAAGGATGCGGCAAAGGCATGCTGAGGTCCCCTCCGGAAGCACAGATCCCAGCATTGTCTGGGAAAGGGGGCTGCCAACTAAATTCTGATAAGCCAGTGTGCGGATGCGCCCTTTGGAAAGGTGCTGAACTGTGCCATCCTGTGCACATTTACTTGGAAACAAGTCCTACTGCAGCCAGTGGCGTTCACACTCATTGCACCCTGGTGCCAACCAACAGCATCCGCGAAATAAGCAATGTCCGCCTACCATGGTTTGTGGCTCTTTACCTCGATGTGGTTGGCAACCAGGCTCACCTTCCCTGCCACCACCTCCTTCCTTCTTAGCCCCCAGGTGTACCCCAGGGGCGCCATGGGGAGGAAGGGGGCGCCTCTCTTTGACAGCCAGGACTGAGCGCCACGCCCAGCTCGCAATCAGGGCGCGTGCCTTGACGCACCGCAGAAAAGACGAGGGAGCCGATCAGACACCTGCCCCGGAGTGGGCACTGGGGGAGCCTGATACATGCTCAGACTAGGCCCCTGGATTCCCCCTGTGCCCTTTTTGCACTTGCTAGAGGAAGCCCCTTTCACACGCCAGCAGCAGGGACGAGAATCAGTTGGGTGGGGGTGCCTGCATCAGAATCCCAAACAGCAGACCCCCCAACTGACCCTCATTCTTGCTCTGGTTTGCCCAGCCCAGCCCTCACAAAGCAGGCGGCGCTCTGGGGATACCTTGCCCAGGTGCTCTGGTGATGCTCAGGTGGGCACTCAGTTGTGGCAGCCTCCATCACAAGTGGAAGCATGGAGGGTGGGGAGGTAGTCCCCTCCCTGACTCCCCAGCTGCCTCTAGTCCAGTTAAGGGGAAAGACCTGAAACCTCTCAGTTCTCCACCCCTTCTGCATCATCACCCTTAGGTTTCTCTCCCTCTCTCTGGCAGACCCTGGTGGGAGTCGCATGGCAAAGTCAAGGGAGAATTATTCAAGGTCCTGGAAGATCATTATGGTGATTAGCTGCCTTAATGAATTACCTGGAGCAGACAAGGGACCTTCGAGAGATGTATGCGCTTCATCTTCCTGCTCCACCTTTTTCAGAACCAGAGCAAAGAAAGCAGCAAACCCGAGAACCTGGAAAACATGGGTTGCAAATCCAAAGACTAAGCTGGCATAGATAATTATGTCTAGCTGGGGCAGACGGATTGCTTTTTCTGCCGAAGAACTAACTTACTTACCGCACCCTCACGTACCGAAATCACAGCACCATCAGGACAAAGCAGCATCAGCTGCCCCAGTGCTGAACTGCATTGCTTTGTGGTTTACTGGGGAACAACAAAGCAATTCAGGAAAGAAAAATAAACGTGCAAAAGTAATAGAATGTTCCTCTGCAGCTGTGAAACTGCCTGCCTGCAGGGATGCCCCCAACAGCTTGAAAAACAGGAAATAGATGCTGTGGCAGGCAGAGCTGGACTTGTGGGCCTGGAGTGTGAATGCTAGCATTGAAGCCCCGAAGTGGCTGGGGCCAGGTTATCTGAAGGAACACCCAGTCCTATATAGAAACATAGGGACAGAGCGAGTCGGAAGGGGTCTCCCGGGCCATCTAGTCTGACCCCCGGCTCCAGCCAGCTCTGCTCACGACGTGCCCACCATGTGCATGCCCAGCCTATCTTATGTACCCTCCCAGGCCCTTAGAGCATCTTGTGGGGTCCTCCTTAGGGAGCCCCACAAAGAAAGTAAGGAGGGGATGACCAGGAGAAGGGCCTTGTTGGCTGCGGCACCCTGCCTTTGCAGCAAGCCATCCAGAGAGGGGCACCTGGCACCTGCTCTTTCCTCTTTCTTGTGCCCGGTGAAATCCTTATTATTCACCAGGTTTTTTATTAGTCAATTTCCGTCTTAATATTATTTTTATTAGATACTGCTGCCAACCTTGTGTGCCAATGTGATTAATTTGGTTGGTGGTCATTGCCATCATTATGTAGGCCTACTGTTATTTTATTGTGATGGGTCCTTTCTGTTTTTTGAGGGTGGGAGGTGGGTTAATGTCCTTTTAACTTTGTAACTGCCCAGAGAGTCACTTGGCTACTGGGCAATATAAAAATGTAATAATAAACCAACAAGCAAACTTTGCCAGGAAGCTCCAGACTTTGAGCATCTCATACCTGATTCCTGTTTAGGTTTGTAGTTACTGCTCCCTCTGCACACACCAGAAAATTGCACAAAACAGGCAGCAATCACATGTGAATTTGTGCAATGTTCCCCCAGTTTAATTTGTCCAACTTTCCTCCATGAACCAAAGCAGGGATGATTCAGTCTACAGAAGAACTTGCGGAGATAAAACTGGGATAACTGTGCAAACTGAGCTTGAGCAAATGTTTGGCAATTGGCAAGTATTTCCAGTGGACACGTGCTTGGTATTGCATTCAGGGTTTTGAACAGGGCATTTTGTGAGTAGAAACACATCTCTCATACATCCCTACCTGGAACTATAATCCTGTAAGGTTGTTACAAACTCCTTGTTAAAGATTAAAATTTCTATGCTTTCTTTGTTAGACTCATTATTCTAAAACAGATCTGAAAATGGCTGGCATTTTTAGGGTTGTCATATCTGTAAATTCAGTAGGTCCTCAGGCAAGCAAACGTTCCTTCTGCAAAAGGCTGAGGGACACAGTACCTACAAGGAGTAACACAGGTCTCTTCACAGTCTTTCCGGCCCAGAATATCCACTTGTGCTCACACTCTGGTCAGCTTTTGATATCCAGACGTATGAGAACATATGCATGGAACTTTTGCCATCAAGGCCTACCTAACTAAAGATAGTGATAGAAAGCAGCCTACCTTTAATGGCTGTGTGATGAACAGGCTCTCAAAGAAGGAGATGCCCATGGAGATGAGCCACTTGATGGAATTGTCCTTGCCATAATGCAGCCCGTACAGCATGGTGAAGAATCCAGACACACCGCTGGTGATGGCCACCAGGAACCAACCAATGAAGACAAACCACCAGGGCAGGCCTTTGGATGATGCTTCCTTCTTAACATTCTCTGCAAGGCTGGGACTTGGTGAGGTTCTGGTGATCCAAAAAGGTGTTGCATGACATGGGCAAGGACTCAAAGTGGGATGTGGTGAAAAACCAGTAAAAAAGAGACATCTTACCCTGGTCAGGTTAGTTAAGTCAGCATCCTCCAATCTGGTGCCCATCAAATGTGATGGACTACAACACCAGTTTAGAAAGCTCTCCTGCATAGACACAGCTCTACAGCTGTGCCCATGCAGCTGAGGGGTGGATTGAGAGATGTACAGAATTATGCACAATGTGAAAAAAGTCACTAGCTAAGGAGACATTTTATCCCTCTCTCATAGAACTAAACCCGTGCAGTTGAATGGTGGAAGACTCGGGATTGAGAAGTACTTCTCTACACATCAGAACATCAGAAAAGCCATTCTGGATCAGACCAAAGGTTCATACAGTCCAGCACTCCATACACCTGGTGGCAAACCAGCTGCCCACAGGACCCGCCAAGGAGGGTGGGTACAAGACCTCCACCTGTCCATGCTCCTCAGCAACTGCTGTATATGGGCAGATCACCTTTGGTAAAGGAGGTGGCACATGGACAGCAAGGCAAGGAGCCACTGATCTCCTCCTCCCGCATGGATGTGTCCAAACATAATTACCTATAGTTAGCATATAGTCCGACGCAGTTAACTATGGAATTTCCTTCCACAAGATGTAGCGATAGCCTCCAATCTGGATGGCTTTAAAAAGGGGTTAGACAAATCCATGCAGAGTAAGGCCATCAGTGGCTTTTGGTCCTGCTGGCTATAATCTTCCAGGCAGTATGTGGATGTGCAGCAGCTGATGGAGAACGTGAGTGGGAGGGTTCGGCAGCACTCATGTCTTGCTCGTGGGCTTCCTGTGGGCAGCTGGTTGGCTGCATGAACAGAACACTGGACTAGATGGACTCAGTCTGACCTGGCATGACTTTGTCCCTGGAGTGGCTGCAGGTGTCCTCTTGTGCTCGGCCTGGTCCCGCAAAGTGAACCGAGCCAAGCCGAGAGGATGCCTGCAAATGCTCACAGAACCCTGGCTGTGCAGCAGGCAACATTTCCCGTCAGGAGGCCTCTGGGATGTGAAAAAGCGCTGCTGCGAGCAGGTGCACCAGGTGCACCAGGCACCCTTCCTGGTGGTCAGTCGCCTTCCCTGCTTACTGGGACATTGCTTGTGTGGTGCATGGGCTGAGAGCCCTGCAAATGCTGGGCAGGTTTGCCAAGAAGCCAGACTCTCAGCCACTCCAGAGTGGACCAGAATCCGGGGAATCCCACCCCCAAACAGGCTCCCAGCACATCCCTAGTTCTTAACTTCCAGAATTCCCCAGGTAAGGGCTATGATCCCACGCAAGTGAAGGGCAGCAGGTTGGAGGAGGCTGCATTAAAGAAAGAGAAGAGGATTAATGTGCATGAGTCAGAAGGTGGCTCCCTGGCCATCTAGTCTGACCCCAAGGTCCAGCTGGCTCCACTCATGTAATACCCAACAGGGGGCATTATGGCACACAGGTTTTGCTATCTCTTGTAATGTGAGAGAATATTGTGATATGGTATTGCATCAATAGTATTTAACACTCACACAATAGTATAAAGTGGAGAAGTCAATAGAGATTGTTGTTCCATCTGTCAAGTGCCGTGATTAAGCTTACACCATTCTATCATTTGGGGATACATAGAAATCACAAAATCACACATGGTGATTTCCCCCTGTCTAAAAACTGTTCAATAATGGTTGCTTACAGCCAAAGGCCATCACAATCCAAACTAAAAATAGATCTGTAATTTAAAACCCTAACCTTAAAACAAAAAGCAGAGTGTACAGAATTAGGTATATTAGAAGGTATATTAGAACAGCATCAGCTCTTATAAGCAAATTAAAAATAAAATATGATGCAGGTTTGACAGAAAAACATTGCATACCTTGAAGATACTAAATATGAAACATGATGATCAAAGAACATAGGGCACCCTGTTAACTTTCCTACACTGAGCTGGAATGTTCTTTGTTGCCAGTACAAAATTTGCCACCCTCAGAGTAGTAAAGGTATCATTTTCCCCGAGAGAAAATGCATATTTGCTGTATCATAAACCTCTTGTGAGAAATTGGAAGAAATGTCCAAGGTATCTACAGTAGTCCCCCGAAATTTGCGGGCGTTGCATTCCTAGAGCACCCGCGAATTGTGAAAAACTGCGAATGTTGAATGTGGTAAAGGTTCATTGCCAGAAGCCCTAGAACAGGGGACCAGTTGAAAGTTGCCAGCGATGGGCCAAGGAGGTATGAGCGGGGGACGTGGGCCGGGCCAGGGGGTAAGTGCGCGCGCAGCGAGGCAAGGGCAGGGGCGTGCATGCGCAGAGATCATTTTCTTTGAATGAGTCCAAACCGATCTCCTTGCAAGCCAAGGAGATCGGTTTGGACTCGCTTGGAGAAAATGACCTCCTTGCGAGCAAGCCGCCACACAGAAAATTCTGGGAACGCCTGAGGCCACGAATGCTGAACCTTGACTTCACAGAGGTATACTGTGCAAATTTCCTCCCTGTCAGTCTTCTGTGATTAAGTTTTCCCCAATATCGTTGGAATTAAATTACTTTTAAAAATTAAAAAAATAAATAGTAAGGTTCTGAATAATGAAAAAGAGTATTAAGGCCATGTAGACCAGCAGGTAAATGTGGTCCTTTGACACAGGCTCCAGTCCCAACCATGCCAAAGTTGTAAATGGAGACTGAATGATAGATGCGTCTCATGTGTTCCCCATATGAAGTTTAAAAACAACAACACATCGTAATGCTCCTAAACCTCTTTGAATGTTGGCTGGGTGTGGCCAGGAGTGGCAACCTCAGTTTAACGCGAGAGTTGATGCTTGAATGTGTGTGCGGGCGGCCGTAAGGCCAAACTTCCCCCCCGCGGCTTTGTTTGTACCTCCCGCTGCCGGATGCTGCGGACGACTGGTGGCTTTCCAGGAAGTCCTTCATGTGCTGCACCTGCCGCACGGCCTGCAAATAGCTCTGCGGGTTTTGGAACCTGTGCGGCCCCAGCAGCGTGAGTTCCAGCTCCACATGTTGCAGTTGGGTGTAGAGGCAACGGTTGTAGCCTCGATGTTTCAGCCTTTCTTCGACTCCTTTCTCCAGAGTTGGGGTCTTTGTTTTTTCTCCGGGGGACACAGAAAATGTGTTTTCTTAGCAGTTAAAAACAGAACAATTGGATTCAGATAACACACGCTGTGAATATGGATCGAGTGTTAGCCATCGCTGAACACAGGGGTTGTTGCTGTAATGTGGGTTATTGTGTTGTCTTAACCCAGCCATGCTAACAACCCATGGAAGCCATGGGTTTTTGTTGGGTTGTAAACTGCAGTTAACATGTGGTTTGTTAGCACAACGTGTGGTTCAGACAACATGAAAAGCCATGTTTCAACAACAACACACATTTCAATGCATGCTCAGAGCTTGAGTGTGGGTTACCCTGTTTCATTTATCTGCATCGTATACGAACTTACATAGAAGCAAACTCCATTGAAGTCAATGGCACTTACTTCTGAGTAGACATGCCTAGGTCCATTGCTGTTGTTATAACTATCCTCACCCCTCCTTTTAAAAGTGAACTGAGTTAGTGTGTGCCTGCCATGAGGCCACTAAAAAGCAACTGGGAGGAATCAGTATGCAGAATGAAACTCAAGAAGCACCAAATACTTTTTAAAACCCCGAGGGGCCCCTAAACGAAGAACGCTGGCCCAATGACAGCGAAGCTCCATTCAATGTGGAATGGAGTATCCTGGCAGAGGTCACACCTGGCTATTGACCTGAGCAGGAGCAGTCCTATTAGGATGTGAGGATATGAGGCAACATTTTTGCAGGCCTCAAATAAATTTCTTGTCAAGCCCTTTGCTTTAAAGCACACGGATCTAGAGCTGAGAGAGCCTCTTTCCGCTGGCATAAAATAGCTTTTCTAGTCCTCCCTCTGAAGCAGGTGGGATGAGTCACCAACACTTGAATCAACTCCACCATCAAAAGAGAATTCTCCTTCCAACAGGTTCACAGCTTCTTGCCCCTGTGATCTGCATCCCCCTCCACCCTTTGCCTGAAACAACTCTTTCCAAAAGGAATGTTGAGTTCAACAAATTGTAGGGAGATTCCCTGTCCCGAACACAACATTCTGCGTGCGTTCAGCAGCCCACAAGGTCGTGCCTTTTCCAGGTGGTCTCTCCCCTCCTTGGAATTGTGTTCCCTCTGTATTTGCCAGCCTGCAACTTACCTTGTAACTCTACCAGGCCGAGTGTGATAATAATCGGGTCATCCTTCTTCTTGTTCTCATCGTAAAATTCATGTCCAAACCTGTTCTGCTGGCAGATGATGTCCTCTACCATGGCCAGAAGCTTGTTGATGTCAGTTGATTTACCAAAATCATGTTCGGAGGAAGGCAGAGGAGCCCTGAAGGTTTTGAAGAGGGAATTGGCAATTCGTCTAATATCCTGGATGGGATCAAAGATACAATGGTAGTGGGAAGCAAGCTGCTAAACTTGCAAAAACAAAACCCCATCTCTGTTTGTGTCCTTTTCCTCTTGCTCTTCCCAGATGTACATCTCAGAACAAATAAATCATTCCTGGGCTGCACCTTGGTGGTGGTTGTCATGATTGCTTTCCTCTTCAGCATGTGGAAATCTTGTGAAATGTCCATTTGGATGGACAGATGGATGGGTAGATAGTTTTTTACATATTTCTTATGTAAACCATACACAAATCTTACAATATCAGACAATACCTACATCATTTAAAATAATTAATAATAACAACAACCAATTGCTTAAAACCAGGGCTGTTTCTGGGGGAAGGAAAGAGGGCTGGTGGCATCCAAAGGATCATGGCACCTGATAAGCCCAGGGAACCCACGAGCACAGTGGCCAGGCCACAGCACACCAGACAGCCCTGCCAACCATCCTCATGCTGCTCGGGAATAGCCCTGGGGAGAGAGTCAAGGCCGTGCCTTGCCAAGGGAACCAACCCACCTGGGAATGACTCTGCTCCAATCGGTGGAATTGTCTCCCACGAGGGACAGAATCCGGCCTGCCACGGAGCAAGGGGCCCCTACCTTTCATGCATCCAAGGCAGCCTGAAACCAGCCTTTCTGTTCATCCAGGGGCTTCTTCTCGGAAGCACTGAATCTCCCTTGACTGGGCAGTCATTCCTGCTTGCAGGAATCAGCAGGAATGGGATGGAATCGGCAAGATCCACTGCTTGCAGAATGCCGTGGGGCAGGGAGGGGGGATATTATGGCAGTGGGAAGGAGAGCCGCCGAGAAAGGCCTCAGCAGTCATAGGCGGCCTGTAAATTATTTTTTAAAGAAGGGAATTGGCAGGAAGTGAGCATGTCCTGTGGGATTCTGCCCTTCACTTGACATCAGCAGCGAGTTATTTAAATAAAGCATCAACCAAGGCTGCCCAGACATTTTGCCGCCTGGGGAGATGGAAAACACCCCTCCTCCCTCCCTCCCTCTCCCTTTCCCTCTCTCTCTCATGAAATTTATTTCCACATGGGAACGGGGAGAGCATCCTTCACTGCAGTGAGCCATGCAGGCTGGAGGCGAGGGGAGTCTGCACCCCACTTGCCTGGCTGGGGGAGGCTGCACTGAACTGGCCCCGAGACACACGTGAGGACTTTGGGGGCCCCCCGGGACTTGCCTTGATGACCGCTTCAGGCGTGAGCGGCACACTCTGCTCCTTCAGCTGCGGGGGGAGGTCAGGGGACACCCGCCCACTCTTCCCTGGCCTCTTCTCCTTGTGAGGTGGGCAGCGGGCGTTCCTGAAGATCTGCACAATGAGCAGGTTGATGGGGAACATGAGCAGCGAGCTTTCGAAGCCGATCATCACCTCCTGCCACGTAAATTCGATCTTCCCTGGAGAGGTGGGGAGAAGAATCAGTGCCATGGGCAGTTCAAACCCTGATCTATGGCTCACCTTTCTACCAAAAACTGGCACTCAAGATCCAGAAGCTCACGCATACGATCTTAGGTGCAAGTTCGAGCGCTTTTGTGGGAAGCGGGTTTCATTTATTGAAAACACATCATATGGATCATCTCAGAAAACTCTACACAGTCTTGTAACGTAGATTTCTGATAAAGGGTGAAAGTAAGAAAGCAGCAGCCTGCTGGTGTCACCAACCCCCAGAGCGAGAAGAACCCATCAGACGAGATTCCCATATTGCCAGTCATCCCTCCAAAGCGTCCCTGCTTCCCTCCCTGGCTCTCCACTTCCCAACCCAAGCAAATCACCTAAGTCCATTTTCTGGTCTGCGGGATCCTTGGGCACCCCCCAGAACATGATGCTGGTCAACATGGTGCACAGAAGCAGTGAGAAGCAGCACGACACCCTCTGGGCACGTGTGAAGGAGCTGCGTGGAGAGCGGTTGAAAATGGAGTACCAGATATGCCCATCACGGAAGCCCTTGGAGGTCTTCATAAAGAACAGATTGCTAGAGAGAGAGAGAGAGAGAGAGAAACAAATTCAGAAGAGACCAGGTTTTGTTTATTTTGTTCTGCTGCAAGAAGAGAAGCAAACATGGCCAATACCCTAAGGAACCTATTTATCATTTATTTATTCATATTGTATTATTTGTATTGTTTCCTGCCTTTTTTCCTTCCAAGGAACTCAAGGCGACTTGCAAAATTCTCCTCCTCCTGCTCTCAAGCTTTTCCCCCCAGCAACAAGCATGGGATGTCAACTAAATATAAACACAATATTATACAAAGTGCTACAGCTACTGAGGAGCAGGAAGAGCACTTGGGTAATGATTGGGTCCCACCTGGAGGGCTAGCCATGATGAAGAAACTTGCGTTTCAGTGGCACAAGGTCAGTCATGTGAGGAGCAGAATGGCACGGTTCACTCTGCTACCAGGAGAAGACAAACAAGCCAGAGTAGTTTCAGTGAGGGATGCCCTTCTTAAATAATCTCAACTTTTGGAGGTCCACGGAGGACAGTGGCTACCTTGAATTTACTGATTCTCCTAATGTATCTATTTATAAATTTATATGCCTCCCTCTAGTCCATAAGAATTCTCTAGGCAGCAAGCATCCCAGCCATAATAGGTTGCCCCTCACTGTTAATCGTGTCCAAACTAAAGGCATTTTTAGGAACCCTGGAGTCCTGAAGGGGGTTGAATCCTGTTGCGAAAGTAGAACTTGAAGAGGAAAGCAGTGAAAGAACTCCTCTCCTGGGATCCTAGCTAATCAGCAGAAATCAATACAGAAATGAGGCAGGCGTAGGGATAAAAGGAGGCAGGGAAGGAGAGACATCAAGATGGTGGACTGGCTGAGCCAACATGGAAGGGTCTGCCTAGGTGGATCCGGGAGGAGGGCAATGGCATCTGAAGCATTTGCTCCCTGGAAGCACAGAATAAAGGAAGACAAGATCTGCATCAATGCAGAATACTCTCCAGCCGTGACCTTTAGCTTCCACATTAGCATCTGGAACCTTTGGCTCCTGGCTGTCTCTAAGCCTTTTGCTAGAACAGCCTCCCAAAACAAAATTGACACTTTCAAATCATGATAAAGCACCCTTCTCACCCTGGTGCTCTTCAGATGTGCAGGATTAAAGCTCCTATCGTTCACTAGCTGAGAGATTATGGCAGCTGTAGTCTAATACATGTGGAAGGTCCCAGGGTGGGGAGAGCCATGCTAGGCCCAGAATATGGACTGAAGGCACATGAGGCATTCGCCAAGCTGAAGCTAAGCAACTCTGAGGCTGGCCTGAGCTTGGAGGGGAGACCCACTGGGAACTGCATGTGGCCACCTTGAATTTCACAACAGGGCAAAGGTGGGATATAAATATTATATATAGGTAGACAGACAGACAGACAGACAGACAGACAGACAGACTAATGTGAATGGATGACCTCAGTTATGAACGGAGCGAGCCAAACTGAATCCTCCACTGCTAATGTTTCTTCAATTCTAACTGAACCATTTTGGAAACTTGCTAAAGAGAAACAACTCCCACCCCTCTGAGCTTTTTGTGGTGGATGAAAAAGGTGAGCCAGCCATGTGACCTAGCTGTTTGCTTAAGCAGCCTTTTCCGTGACCACGTACCTGAAGAGCTTCATGTCCTTCTCTGTAGCTACTGGGAACACCTTATCCAGGACGCAATCTCCAATGTCAATGGACAGCCAGGAATTACAGAGGAAATACCACTTCTGATCTGTGGCAACATCATGGACCAGCACATGGTTGACATACCTATGCATGAATAACAGGAAAGATGCCCAGTGTAACACACCAAACATTACTTTGCGTGTGTCTTGCAGCATCTACATCATGTGTGATGGTTGTAAATGCAGATTTTGCAGTTGTGCATCTTCTAGCCAACATTTTTTACAGCCACCTCATAAACTGGGCCAGCATTTTGCATCAGATGTGACATGATGCAGAATCCACACTCAGGTCTAGAGATAGACATAGACAAAGACAAGCCAGGCTGGATCAGACCAACAGTCCAGCCAGTCCAGACACAGTGGCAAACCCATTGTCCACAGGATCCCTCAAGCAGGATGGGTGCAAGACCTCCTCTTGCCCCAGCTCCTCAGCCACTGCTATATGCAGACTTGCCACCTCTGGTGAAACCAGTGATGCTAAGTAGCCACTGATAGTTTCTACTTCCATGGACCAGTCCAATCCCCTCTGAGAGCCTTCTAGATTTGTAACCATCACTGCTTCTGGTGGCAGCGCATTCCATGATTTAAATATACATTGTGTGCAAAAGTACTTCTTGCCTGTCCTAAACCTTCCCCTAGTCAGCTTCACAGGACAAACCCAGGTTCAAGTGTTGTAGGGGGAGGGGGGTCCTAGATTTTGTTGCCACTGTTGAAGCCAGTGCGTCGATGGCGGCTTGGATTGGGATGACAGTGTCATGGCAGGCCTTCCACTGTTTCCACAACTTCTTCCCTGCTCTGTCCAAGCTGCTATTATCTGCTGAGAGTAAGAAGACAACGAAGACAGACTCGTGGGCTTTTCCTGCTGGAGACTGGTGAGAGGCCTTCTCAGTTCTGGGAGCCATTTGCAATTCTCTCCGTAGAGGAATCACAGGGCAGCGGACGTTAGAGAAATCCGCAGGCATGCACTTTCTAAGAAGCTGAGCTGCAGATTCTGCAACACCTGAGTTGCATGGATTCTGCAGACTTGATTGGATGGGGTTGGGGAAAGGAGGCAGAATTCTCAAGCAAAGCACTGCTAAAGTTAGATCTCTGTGCAAACATTTTAATGAAGATCAACCTTTGCCTCCCAACAAATTTAAGATGTGATGGATAGACTTTGGATCCATGGCAAATCCTCCAAAGCTAGCCAGACTGGAGAAGGCTGATGCAGATTCTTCCCATATGGAAGACAGCCTTCCAGATGCTGTTGAACTAGAACTCCCATTAGCCCTATCCAACAGAGCCCCCAGCAAAGGCAGATGGGAACTGCAAGCCATCAACATCTAGATGGCCACATGCTGCATATTCTTGCACCAGGAGTTCTCAGGGAAGCCCTTCCTTCTGTTTAATGTAGAAATAATGACCTGCTTCACAGGGTTGTATTTGGAATTATCTTGAACATGTGAAGCACTCTGGATATTCAGAAGCCCTAAATAGGGACACAGGAAGCTGCCTGAACCTGAGTGGGACCAGGGGACCATCTAGTCCAGTTGTGTCAGCAATGAATGGCTGTGGCTCTTCATGAAGAGTTTTCCCAGCCCGACCTGGAATGGCCAGGTAGGGACCAAACCTGGGGCCGTTCACCTATTTAGCATGTGTTCTACCACTGAGCCACAGACCATTCTCCATATGGTGGGTGGTGGGTCTTATTTGGTTACACTGGAAGTGTCTCCTTCCTGGAAACACCCAGTGAGAGACAAAGCACTTTGCACAAGAAGCTATGAAGGATGCTGCTTTATCCGCCCCATCACTCTGCTTCTTGCATACCAGGATGGGCTGCCTCCTGAATTATCGTGCCACAATCTGATGCTCTGCAGTTCCCCCAGAGGAAAGAGTGTACAGAGCAGGAAGACATCCACCCCTCCTCGCTCAAAGACTGTCTTCCCGGGGTCTACCAGGTGGTGCGGCTCGCTCTCTCCTTCCTGGCCATACAAAGTGAGGGTCACCTGTAAAAGTAAAGACACGCAGCAATGGGTTTGACTTCCTGCAGGAGCCCGCGCAAGCGTGGTCTTCACACGGGCGCACCACCAGTCCCTGAGGTGCCTTGTTCGAGCAAGAGAATGAGCAAAATTCATTCAGTTTGCATTTTATCTAAATTCACACTTCCAAAATACTATGCAATCTGAAGCTCAGTGGTCCTTCAAAACTCATACCTCTCTGAATTTGCAAAGGAGCGCTTCAAGAAGTATGTAAGACAATGATAAAGTGCATTACATTAGGAAAACTGCCCACAAAAAGTATGCATGTTAGGAGTAGATGTTGTTTGTTTGCTTGCTTGTTGCATTTATATGTCATCCCATAGCTCAAGGGCTCTCTGGGCAACTTAACAATAAAACAATGATAAAACAACAATTAAAACAACTAAACAATTAAAGCAATTCAAAACAGAAAATCCACAAAATGAGTACAAAGTCTAACAGTCAGCAAAAATCGCCTTGGGCAAAACAGCAATAAGATTAGAGTAAATAAATAGATGTACATAAAATGCAAGTATTGGTGGAAATATGCAAAAAAGGATCACGCAAACTTTTGAAAAATCTGTTTTCAAATTCTGGAATGAACCAAATTTAAGAGTAGAGAAATATGCAAAGACTGAGACAAACTGATCTCAAGAAACTGCACAGACTCACCCTCCCCTCTGACATTGGGCTACAGCCCTTCCCCACTTCTAGCCCATCACAGAAGCACCAGTAACACCCAGGATGTGTACCTGGGAGGTTGTAGCTGCCCCTCGGCGGTGTCCAGTATAAACAGTCACCAGGTAACGATACTGAGCAAAAGGGTCATTGTCCTCCAAAACTGTTATCTTCACCTAGGAAAAAAGCATGGAGGCAGCAAATAGCAGAGGGGAAGGATGAACGCATGCACCTAACACGGGCAAGCAAAGCAGAGATTTATCATTGCACACGTGTCTGTTTGTCTGTTGGTTAAAAAAATGAATTATTTTCAGGCTGTGCAAGATTCTTTAGCTACAATAAAAAAGAATATTATCCCTTGTAGAGGAATACAGATGTATTCAACATTATGATGGGAAGAATGACTACAGACATGGTCAGAGAAGGAGAAAGCAGTACGCCCTTGAGAAGATTGTTTCTGTGCGGGAATTAACGAAGGAGACTGCATGGAGGCTGCACGCTGCTCGTGGGGTGGTCTTACTCAAAGTAAAGCCTCAGCAGATCTTCTTTAAATCAGCCTGGCATCAGGGAAAAGAGGGAGGGGATGGGAAAAGACATTTCAAGCAATGTGATGGGCAAAGTGGGGGAGAACACGAGTAAAGGTATGGGGAAAGATGAGGATAATCCCACAAAGACAATGGTTTCCATGGGGAATTACCAATGGGAGGATAGATTGGCTGAGGCACATGGAAGAAGAAACATGAAGAATTGCAATCAAGACTGGGGAGAGGGAAATCTAATCCGGAAGAAGGAAGCAGTGCATGTTGGGATGGGATTTAACCCGCAATGGCAGCTGGGATATGGGCCAGCAGGGGGAGGTAGGCCTCAGACAGAGGAAACCCATGAGAAGGACCAGAACATTTGATGGTTTCTCTGATAGAACGTAAAAGCCAACCACCAATCATGGTAGCCAACTACTGTTGCTTGCCATTATATGAAGATTTGCCCAATGTTACTCTCTGAAATTATTTATTTATTGAAAGCATTTTTACCCCATCTTTTACAGGGGACTCAGGACAGCTTGCAAACTAATTGCATGCACACTGTCTCTTGGGTTCACTCAATAAGCCATGATGGCTTATGATTTTCCACCTCAGCAGTATGGTTTGTTAATCACGCATGAGCAGTCCTGGCTGGGCTCAGACAAGCTTCCATGGTTTCTTGTGCTGTGGAATGCAGCTTTGCTCCTCCTGCACCCCTGCTGTGCAAAGGACACATGTGCAGCCTGCAAATGGAAGGCTGATTGCCTACGCACACCTGCATGCAAACGCGGTCACACACAACACACCACTTCTGCCTTTATCCCGGCTTAGTCAATCTCCTTTCCAGGGCAGCATGCACACAGTTAAGCTTAAAGAAATACTCCACAGAGAGAGTTAACCATGGGCATCCTTTGCAAACTAAGAGCGAATTCTGTTCCTCTAGAAAGGGAAGAGTGAATTACAAAGGGAAGGACAATCCTGGCACGACTTACTTTGGCATCGTCTTCGATGTCTTTTCTTCTGGCCCAGATCAGAACTAGCAAGTACACAACAAAGATGCATCCCACAGTCACCACCACCACCGGGTTGTCCACAAACGTGGCAAACAACTCCACCGTTTTGCTAACATCGATGGTGTTTGGTAACACAAAGAAGGTGCTCCCAAAGAATGTCAGGTGATTGCAGAGGCACTGCGTACTCTCCGGGGTCGTCTCGGGGCCCACCTGCAACCAAGCGAGAGTGCACTGTACCTGCTTCGGTCGAATCACCTGCAAAATCACACATCTGCTTTGCAGGTTTTTTCCACATTCTCACAGAGCTGGACAACCTGCCCCCCCCCCCACACACACACACTCTCTCTCTCTCTCTCTCTCTCTCTCTCTCTCTCTCTCTCACATGCAATTCACAAAGACTTACCACTCACTCCCATCCACACAGAGTGTTGCTTCAACTGGGAAATTCTGAGTGGTCCCTTCAGTCTTTTAGACAGGAGCTTTACCTTCAAGGTCTAGGAAACGGGCTGTCTGGTTGTTGACTACTCTCACTCCTAAAGCATTTCTGGAGCATCCTGGGAAGCCAGCGCAAAATCTCAAAATGGCCCTGCTCCCTCAGATGCTCTGGGATGCTCTCGGAATGAAGCATCTAAGGTAGAAACCAAAGAGCATATCCCTTTGCTTCTATTGTCCTCGTCTGAATGCTATTGCTCTGTGTTCAGTATTGGCAGATACTGGCTGCTGCTTCCTTCTGGCACCCCATTACAAAGCAGTGTGTTGTTCAAAGGCACCACAGCACTGCATCGTGAAGGCATCGCTTTGATGGGATGGTGGCAACTGAGAAGGTGGTCTTCCCTGCTGTGACCACCCACTTGTGGAATGCGTGTCCCTGCGACTTTGGTTCTTCTCTTTCCAGCACCAAAGTGAGGAAATTCCTATTTTCCAGACATTTTAGACTTTTAATTTCTGTTCTTTTTGGTCTGTCACCACATTTTAATGCTTCATTTTGCAGCTAGGATTTTTTAAACTTCTATTTCATAATGTGGTTCTAAAGTTTTAAACTTTTATAGTGTGGTATGTTATGGTTTAATTGTTGCAAATGGCTGCTGCTCAGACATCTTTGGCTACCGGGTGGTGTACAGATGCAACAAGCATGCGAATAAATACATGTGCTCTACTTACCTGACAACCATAACCATTCCAGTTCCCTTCATGCATGTCCCAGAATGCACACTGAGATGCAAAAAAAGTGACAGAAACATTCGTGTCTCCGGGAACCATGTGCTCCACTGCTGTTTCTGGTCTCACTGTGACATAGTAAGTCCCTTCTCCAAAAACCAGGTCTTGTGGGTGGAGAATCCAGGAATATACTTCAGCTGGAAGAGGAAGGACCAGTCAGATCCAGCAATGTACAGAGACAGGATTGCCGACTGTCAAAAAGCATATCCCCGTCTCGTAATCTGGTTGTGTGGCTTTGAAAACCCCATCCTGCTTTGAAACAAAACATCCCCCCACAACTTAATTTGCTTTGTGGGCGATTTTGTCCCCCCAGCCAAGGCATGTGTGGCATATGTCTGAGTGCCTTTAGTTTGACTGAATGGCTGGGTCTGCAGGATACTACAAGCCTCGGTGGAGGTACCACTGTTTGTCTGTTGTGTCATCAGTGGTATTTTAGCATGGTGCATTTGGACTTCAGAAAACACAGTAAGAAATAATGGTCTGTTCTTTGGTTTCTGTTTACCAGAATAGTTTCTCATGCCATCTGAACCCAGTATCACGGGTTCTCTAGCCCCAACATTCAACTACCATAGAGTCCCCTGGAAAGAGCAGCCACTTTAGGAACCTCTCCCGCCATCTGGCCTTTACTACCCATCTCTGCCTCGTAACAGATAGGTCACCGCTTGCCTCACTCCTGCAGGCTGCTTTCTGTTTCCATCCCTCTCCAGCTTCTCTGTTGTCATCCAGATTTCCACCCGTTCTGCCTTTTATTTTCATTCCAAGGTATTTGGACACTTGTATGCATGGCAGCAGGGGGAAGAAGGCTCTCATGGGCAGGGTGAGGACACGATTAGATTATGGGCGCACAGACAATTTCAGTGGATATTCCTGAGATAATAATGAAGGCCAGATAGTGAAGATGAAACTCAAATACTTTGGCCACCTAATGAGAAGGAAGGACTCCCTGGAGAAGAGCCTGATACTGGGAACGATCGACAGCAAAAGAAGGAGGGGACGGCAGAGGATGAAGTGGCTGGATGGAGTCACTGAAGCAGTTGGTGTGAGCTTAAGCGGACTCCGGGGGATGGTGGAGGACAGGAAGGCCTGGAGGAGTGGCGTCCATGGGGTCGCAATGGGTCGGACACAACTTTGTGACTAACAACAACAACAACAATAATGTGCAGTTTCTATATGAAGAAATCTATTTATCTGCTTTTTAGTTTTCTGGTCTATGTTTCACTGCCTGAGCAGTTCCTTGAGGTAAGCCAGATAGACCATGCGAATTTAGTCCTTAGTCAAGTTTCAGGATTTCCAGAAAGTCTTTATCTTGATATTGGACATGCTTACTGTATTTCGGGTCTTATACAGGAAGAGGGAGCCAGATCTGTTGTTGTCCTGGCTGTATCAACTAAAGGATACTTCCTCTGTGCACCTGGGCAGAAGGGGAAGCTTCTGTGAGTTCCAGATAAGGATAGAATCATTATTTTCCCCTGTTCCCCAAGGGCAGTGTCTGATCAGAGAAGGAAGCTTTTAGAAGTGTCATGCATAGCCCGAGATCTCAATCTGAAATTCCATACAATTAAGTCCACCATATTTGTAGTGGAATTGCAGGATGAATTGAAGATGTTTTGAACCCCAGCAGCTGCAGATTTCTTTTGTTTTGGGGATCTGAGTTACATATCTTGCTCAGACGTTGGCTTCAGATTTTATAGGTTCTGCTACAGCCTCTGTTTAATTCCGCTCTCCATTTTTCAGAAGTTGATTGGAAAGCTTCTGACATTGGCTTACATACTTTGAGTAGATAACGTTCCAGGCATTTTGCCATCTTCCTTCTTCCTCTGCTGTATTGATTTACTTTTCTCTCTCTTTCTCTTCTCTTTGTCTCTCTTCCCCCCCCCCCCCCCCGCAGAATTTTCTCAGATAATGTTAGGGTTAATTAATGGTGTGTCCAGTCTTAATAATCAATGATATAAATAATGACTAAGTAGGGGCAGAATGTGATGGGTTGCCCTATTGTCTTGCTCAGAGCTGAAATGCTTATTTTTATTTTGTTTTGTTTTACTGATTTTGTCTTTTTTCTCCTTCTGGATGAGTTGCATATCTTAATTTCTTCTTTCACACTGGGGAGGGGGAGAGATTAGTTTCTGGCTTTTTCACTGCAGGGGTGTAGGGTACAGTGAAAGCATTATGAAATGTGTTGTATCCATAATTTATATTTTGAATTATTCTGTGATTTTTTTGTGTGTAGCAAGGATAAGATTTGCATGTGTACAAGGGCAAATGATACACACATAAAATCGCCACATTTAAAGTGACTACTTGGAATGTCAACAGACTCTGAAATTCAATTAAACAGAAGAAACTGCTTAAACTAAAGGGAAATGAAATTGATGAGGCCTTATTAACAAGATATTTATCAGATGACAGCAGATACATATCAGTTTATATAGGTCTGAGTGGGAGAGGTCTCTGCAACAGATACATTGACCAAGTAGTGATCTTAATCCATAAAAAACTTTTGTTTTCAGTTCAACAAACCATTATTGATCCAGATGGTTTTTCTTTATTCTGGTTGGAAAGTGAGGGCTAATGTCTCTCCAGCCATATTTCACAAACATTTTAGCCAATCATTTGATGCCATTTAAGATTGTGTGTTTGCCGAAGAGGGGAATTCAATGAGATCTTAGATACCACCCTGAGCCAAAGGCAAGCAATGTTGAAATTTGCAATTCAAGACTAAGGGGCAGAATCTGGTCTGATCGTCCATGAACAATATTGCATCCAGATAAGGGAGGCTATACTGTTGTATCTTCTGCCCATTCTAATTGATTCTGCCTGGCAAACTTTTTTTTGGTACAACATCCTCATTATCCCAAGTCAGAGACTCTAAGATTGAAAAACTGAGTGAAGCATATCAGGCCACGCTGCAGGTTGTTTGAACCTGCCTCTGAGGCCTTAATGCGTCCTTATTGAATGATGAGTCTTTTAAAAATCAGATTCCTGCTGAGCTACAAGCCTATTCCGAAATCAGAAGGGTACAATCAAATCATTGTCCATAGAATGGGAGGCTGGCAAAGCTTCCATCTGAGGCCAAATTATCACTTATGCTTCACAGACATTAAACAGGGAATGGCAAATAGTTTTAAGTGATAGTTGAAAATGTTTATTCAGTATTGTATAGCAGTGGCTGTGAAATATAAGAGCAAGATATTGATTCTTTTATCCCAGGTTAATTTTCCCTATCTAGATAGCTCACAAAGGCAGTTTATAATGGCATCTTTGCAGATTGATGGAATTGCAAAAGCAATAAATAATATGAAAATGGGGAAATAGCAGGTCCAGATAGATTTCCAGGTGAGGAATATTAATAATTTTATTTTATTGCTTGTGTAACTCTGTTTTTGAGCCAGGTTCTATTTATGCAACATTCAGTGATGCTTACATTACAATAATTCCTAAAACTGAGAGTTACTACACTCTGCATTAATTATTCCATTGATTAATGTTGATATTAAAATAGTGACTGTAATTTTGGTGGACAAAGTACAACCAGTTATTACAATGTTAGTTCAGCTGAATCAGGCAGGATTAATTAAAAACAGGCAGGAAGCTGGTTGTAGAACTGTTTGCATTAAATAAGGATAGAATTGACACACCTGCCATCAACTCTCTGGATGCGGAGAAGGCCTCCCATGCAATTTTGGAAATTTGTCTTTGCCACATTGAGAAATTATAGTTTTCTTCCAAAATTTCAGAATGGGTTAAAATTTTATAGGAGACTCCTAGAGCCAGCATTAGTACCATGTGGAGCTGGAGAAGAGCAGTGGGAACTGCCGTGTAAGATTGCAGTGTTAGAAAATGGGAAGTGAAATTGATGGGAAAGAAAGACTAGGATGGAGGAGTGGGGAATGGTGAGAGCCAGTGTCGCGTGCGGAATAAAGTGTAGCACTAGAACTCCCGAACGCCACAAGACGTCTCCTCTCTGCTCAGCCATGGAGCTCACTTGAGCCAATTGTCATTGGTGACCTTGGGCCAGTGACTCACTCTCAGCCTAGCCTACCTCACAGGGTTGTCAATGAGGAGAAGAACCATGAAAATTGCCTTTGGTTCCTCACAAGAGGATGTAATGTAAAAGGCAAGAAAGAAAAGAAGGAAGGATAATGGGATGCCGCTGCGTTTCAGTGCCTGAAAGGAAGCCGAAATGGAAAAGGTGGCATGGTGGATGTAAGCCAGAGCGGGTGGATTTCAGGGGACAATTGCTTAGTGAAGCATCCCACCAGGGGAACTGTTCCGGGAGCAGGAGAGGGGACTACAGAGGGAGGGAATTCGTGGGGTGACAGAAAGCAAACGGAAGCATGGGGAAAGCGTGTGGAAAGGAGATGACTGCAGGCTGATAAAAATACAAGCCTCTAACAGGAGAGGAAGATGCTTCGGCAACCGCTGGGCCAGCATGGCTGGGGAGACGTGGGGCAAAGCCCAGCCACATGCCTGCTCTGTGCAGAAATAAATACCCAGCAGGAAAACCCTCGCTGATGTTTGCAGCCCCTGCGCTAGGACAGGCCCTGGCAAATCTTCCATGGGGTAAGGGGGGATAGGAAGGGCTGTGGGGAAAGACGTCTTGGCATGGAGAAGCTTCACAGCTTCATCCATTAACTGGTGGTTGTAGCAGAAGGTTGTGAGGAAAAGGAGGGATGACAGAAATCACACCCAGGGAACTGTGCAGACCAATGGAGAAGGGGCAGGCAGGGAACACTGCACCTTGGGCTGAATTTCAGCTGATGGGACGTGGGCCATCTGAGCAGCGGGGGATGGAAATGACGGTACTGTAGAAACCATGGCTTTAAAAGTCGTGACTGAAACCACGCAGGGTGACGTGCAAATGCATCCAATGTTTCTCTCAGGAGCTCAGAATTGGCCGAAGAATGGATCTCAGGTTTCAGCAATTATGGGAAATTTAAGACTTAATTTATCCTGCATCAGTGCATAACAACAAAATCTGCATAACAAGGCACAATCTCTAACCGGAATAATTGTCTTGGTCGAAACTTCAGTTCAGCACAAATATGTTTTCCCTCAATGGATTTTAGTTTTTTCTTTGCTGAAGGACTTTGGGCCTCTTCCTGGCTCTCCAAACAGGCTAAGATGTTCCGTTAACTTTAACTCTGTTAACTTTATTTTGTGCTACAAAATGTGTTTGTTGTTTAGGCTCACAAAAGCAATACACAGGCTTTTTACATTATGCAATTTGGGTGGGGAGCGTATTTTATACCTCTGGCATTTGTTTTATGAATAGGAAACTGTAAAAGTCAGGGGGCTGAAATTTGAAAACATGGTTTAATACCCTGCATTTGACATATCCTCAAAGAATTAAGTTATAAGTCTACTTATGTATAAATTACACAACAAAATGTGAACCTGGGGTGGAAAAATCACCCCAAGATGCAGGATGAAGTTAATCAAAGTTTGAAATGGAGAAATCAGTAGTTATGCTCTGGAATGAAACATAATTACCTACTTACTCTTACAGAACAAATTGCTGCTAAACTGACTTTTACAGAGATCAGTTCAAAAGCTGAAAAATCTAGAAGGGGGGGTACAGTGGTGGAGTGTTAAATTTTAAAGAGATGGATTATTTCAGTCCTCATTGCCACGCAACCAAGAAGAATCTAAAAATTCAGGCAGCAGTGTGGATCCCTCCCTTTCAATAAACGAGCTCTGGTTTCCTTTTCCACCAGGAGCAGCTTTTTCATAAAGCAAATGGTTTTTAATTGCAGATCCACTTGCCCTCAAAATACTTTGTATTACAATGGGGAATCATAGATTTTGCTAGGAAAATTAATTAAAGCGTAGCTCAGTTCAGAGAGAGCAGGGAGGCGGATTATGTCAGCACGCTCACCTATCAAATGCTCCCTTGGTGCCACTATACTGCCGAAACTGCTCTAGTTGGTTATGAAATCAGTTCAGCACCACTTACGCTGGGATAAGAAAAGTTTGTTTATTCCTGATCTAGGTCTAGAAGATACAGGACCATCAGAAGTCCCTGGCAGACATATGCAACCTTTTTGGTTGGTGAGCAGGCAGAAAAGTTCTCCTGCAAAGAGCTAATGGACTTACCTCCAGGTTTTCTGTTGTGAGGAAGATGTATCATCAAGTCATAGCTAGTCTCATTGGGATGATAGCCATATCCCAAATATAAGATAAGTGGAATGTTTTGGTCCAGCTCCAGATGGATCACTAGTGATGCATTTACTGAGGTCACATTGACTTGGAGAGCGCCGGAATCTCTCAGACGCAACACATTCCTCTCTTCTTGGACTGGCGAACTCCGTGGCAGCAGCATCTGCATTGGAAACCAACAGTGCAGTTCTGGAAATGCATCCTTGCCCTGGGAATCTTTACAGTGAGTTCACTACCACCTAGTGGGGGGCCAGCTGAATTATGCCTCTTGATATCGTGTCCTCATGAAAAGAGCAGGCTTTGCACAGATTGGAAAAGCCCATTGCTTGATACAATGGAGACTCTGGGCAACATTGTGCCAATCCTGAAGTCGGGAGCTTTGTGCTTGGCTCATCTGAGTGAAGACACAGCTATGGGCACCTGTCAGTGCGATTCCTGACACTGTGTCCGCCCACAGCTGAGGGACACGTCTGCCTCTGAAAGGGGAAGGGGGCAGCTGCACAGCTCTGCCTCTCAGGCCACCCCCTCCCTGCTCAGCTTTAACTTACAAAATTACAAAAGCATGTGCTGGATGGGAAAGCCTGCCATCTAGGCCTCAAAGGCATACTTAAACTGATTAAAATTAATTTAGTCATTATCTGAGATCCCCTTAAAATGAAGGTCAAGTCTCAGGAGTCTAGTCTTCACCAGCAGACATATGTACACAGTTTCTGCTGGATTATTCCTATCCTTTTTGCTATGTTGCTCAAACAGGCGTGTTGTTATAGATCCGGTAGTCTCAGCCCAGGCAAAGATTAGACCCAGAGTTGCTTGTATTCAGCAAATGTGATGCTTTCAGGTACCATCGAGGCTTTGATGCTTGGGGACCATATGAGGGCTGGTCTACCTCATGGTTTGGCAACCTGGCTTCCAAACATGGTTGACTCCATATCCCATCAGGTCCAGCCACCGTACCCAATGGGCAGGATTATAGGAATTGCAGTAAAAAAAAAAAACTGCAGGGATGTTGCAATGCATCTACTTTGCAGGGTAAGGCTCAGGGCCTGTCCCGTATCTCAATATTCCTGAACATATTCAGAAAAGTACATGGTAGAAAAAGTTCCTTCTGGGAATACAGTAACATCTCCTGTGATTGAATGCTCCTCCACATCAAAAACTCCTCACCTATTGGAAAGTAAGCACCTTGGGGAAATTACCTCAATGTTTTCCATAAGGTTATGAACCGGAATTACTGATCCATCCAGGCTGGTGAGGCTGAGGCCTCCCACAATTCCATTAATATCAAAATTGTCACTGGAGGAAAAGGGATTGACCGCAAAGCTCATCATCTACAAGAAAGGTTGATAACTATCAGAGAGATTCGCTCAGATCTGTACTCTTCAACGCTCAAAACTGCAGACTCGAATGCAAAGAAGATTCCGTTGCAATGGATATTCATTCATAATTATGCAGGTGACGGAGGAATGGATTTGGTATTCCCATTAACTCAGGAAGCTTGCATGATCGACTCAGTTTTGGATGAATTTAGATAAAATGACTGAAGGCTAAGAGTCAGTGTTGCACAGTAGGTACGGTTTGAACAAGTCAGGATTGAACCTTAAATTTTAATCTCTGAATACTGAACACTATACTTTGGGCACTCCCTAAACACAAGTTCAGTTGCTTCATAAACCAAAGGTTCATCCTGCAATGCTGGAATAGACCACAAGGTTAGCGTGGTGCCCAGGTGTGAGAAGAACAAATAGGCTGCCGCTTTGGAGTAGGAACAGTGAAAGACACAGAAATTCAGAGATCTGAGCTTGGGCATCTCCTTGCTGGTCTGAGGTGGGAGCAGTGGACTTTGCCTCGGAGTATTCAAATTGTTCCGCAACCTGTGCTTAACCATTTGAAAATGAATGCAAATGTTGCAAAACATGAATCAGGGCTTGTTCCCATCTGTCTGAGAGAAATCAAGGCTGGGCAAGCCCACCCACCCCCTTGTAACTTCTCACCTCCTGGAGCAGTAGGGTGGATACAACAGTGTTTCCAGTGAAGGCCAGCAGCATGAAGGCGTGCAGGAGAGATTCAGGGACTATCAGGCCTGGTGCGGTGGTTGGCATGTTCGGCTGGGGAGCTGGGTTCTACTGCCCACATGGCCAGTTGCTCCCTTCCAGCCTAGCCTACCTCACAGAGTTTTGGGTGCAGAGATCAAACTATGGTATGAAAGCTATGGAGGGATGGGATGGAACTGCACCACCATCCTCATCATTGTCATCAAGGGCTGCTGCTGCCGATGGTTGTTACAGGAGCGCCATCATCGGGGGCGTCTCGAGAGCAGTTGCCTGGAACACGGACTCTTGCATGCAAGTCCGCTGAGGGATTCCTGGGCCATCTGGGTGGCCAAAGTGCTCACAGAACGCTAGCCTCGGAACTGTACTACTTCTTCTTTTCCACCTCCCCTCTACCCCTTGTTTTGCTTGTTCAGTTGCAAAGTCGTGCCAAACCCATCATGACCCCACGGACAACATTCTGCCAGGCTCTCCTGTCCTCCGCCATGCCCTGGAGTCCACCCAAGCCCACACCCACTGCCCCAGGGACCCCATCCAGCCCACTCGTCCTCTGCTCTACCCCTTATCAGGTGGCATGTGGTGGAGTGGTGGCAATGCTTAGACTGCTATCATAAAACAATGCACATCTTAGCAAAAGAAGAACATTAATTCCGAGCTCAAGCCAAGTCGCAACTAAAACAGGTCACTTGCCCGAATGTCCACCATGTCATCACTGTCTCCCGAGATGTGGAGGGAAGAGGCAGATGGCAGAGTGAAGCTGGCAGCACCGGAGTTGGAAATAGTAATGGATGTGCCGCCTGCGTTGTCCGTCTGTAGCCTTTGCAGAGAAGGATCAGAAAACGTCAGGGAAGAGGAAAACGAAGGAGCAGAATGAAAGGCAGGGCATCCAGTAAATGGCAACATAGCTCAGGGCGGAGTCCGTCCTGCTTTGGGGCCACAACCTGTAGCACCCCTAAAAAGAGGCAGGACTGAGCAGCAAACAGGCAAAAGAAATGGAAGGGTGGAGGGGACACAGGCGCTGAGGATACAAGACCGCAGAATTGGGAAGGAACTCAGAAGAACCACTGGCAGGTGCATATAATGCCTACTGGGTTCAGATAACATAACTCACGCTGAAGGTTTGAGTGTGGGCAGAGTGTGGCTTGTTGCTGAATTGTGAATGTCAGTTACCATGTTGTCTAAACCTAGCCAAGATGGTGAACAACCTGTCAACAGGCCATTGTCTTTCTTCGTGAGTGGTTCCTGGTTAACAAGCCATGGAGGCCTCGTGACGCAGTGTCCACTGCCAGCCACATTCCAAACGCATAGGCAGACATCTGGACAACGAAGGCAGAGGCAACAGGGAGCGTGAAGAGGATGAGCAGAGTGCTCCTGGAACTGATGCTTCTGCCTCCAGGTGGGTCTGGACAGCCCTTTGCAAGGCTCCATGGCAGCAGCATGGCCACCATGCTAAAATGCTGCTTCTGGGTTCACACAATCGAACAAACCAGGGTGACGTATGGGAACCATAGAACAGACTGTTGCTTCTCTCCATGGTTACATGGAAACCATCCTTACCAAATTGTACTCTGGCTTGGTTCACACTGGATGACAAACCATGACACAATGGCTTCCACTGTGATTTAGACCCCAACTGCCAAATTTAATACAAGAATTACATGTGCTGTGCAGCGTGTCCACATTTTACATCTAGGGATCAAAGTACATGTAACATGGCAGCTCTGTGATTCTACATCCTGTTAGACAGTAATGTGGGCATAAAGCATGAGATACAGACCACGGTGCCTCTCCAAAGCAGCTGCCGCCGCCGCCGCCTCCACCTCCTCCTCCTCCTCTTCGCTGCTTTTTTAAATTCACAGAACTCACACGTCACATGTAAGGGAACTCCAACCTCTCTGCCTTTTCAAAAATGGCTGCATCCCCACTGGATCACTTCACCCTGTTGCTTTGCAGTAGCCAATGGGATACCTGAATGCTAGCAACCGAAGGCGTCTCCAGGTTTTCCTGGAGGGAGACGAAACACAGTTGGGATCCTAGGAAAAGTTGAAGAAGCAAATCAAGCTGATTACCTGTTGATGTACATGGCCACAGAGGGAGTTGCGAGCACCATGGGTTCCGTGTCAGGCAGTTTACCGATCAGGAGAGCGCTTTGGAGGTTTTCAGCAGCCGTTAGAAGCCTCTGTGATACCAAAATCTATGACAGAAGAACCAGCCACATCCTGTGACATTTTTTTAGTGACAGCCCAGAACATATTCTTGCCTTGCCTAGACTGGCTGATACACATTCATGTGGTCCTTTTACACCTGTCACTAATTCAGTGACTGAATCATCTGCAAGGGCTTCTAAGAGGTTTGCTACAAGAGGCATTTATCGAGCATGCAAGATCCCTTCAGAGATCTTGTGATTTGCCAGCATCACTTCTCTTCTTAAGAGAACATTCTTGGGAGGAGGGGGTTAGAGCTTGGAAAATGGGGTATTATTTCTGAAAGCAAATTAAAATATTGTTTCTCACTTGTGCATTTGCACCATCCCACAATAATACAGCACTACCTAGAGGTTACCTAGTCAAAAAGCAGGAAAGGAAAATTTCATTGTTTTTGAAGGAAACTTTGATGTGGGTGTTTTTGTTTCTTTCTAAGTATTCCTGAACCAAAAGGAGGTGCCTTGAATCAAAAGTGAGGTGGCCTGGACTAAGTCCTTTCCAGTTGGAACAGGATAAATTTTATCTGCCTTTTAAGAAAAATAATGAATGGCATTAGTACCAAAGAAAAACAGCTAGCAAGATCCAGAGTGTCGGACTGGGCACCTGGGAGACCCGTGTCCTCGCCCCCACATGGCTATGAAGCTCAGTCACTCACTTTCTGCCTAACCTACCTTGTAGGGTTCTTGCTGTTGTGAGGATAAAATAGAACTTTGAAGGCAGCCTTGGGCCATCACAAGAGGGGAAAAGGAGGGATATGAATGCAATGCGATGATGGTGGGGGGGGGGGGGGGTGGAACTGCCAAGGAGGCTGAGATGCTCTCAAGGCCCGACTAATGTATGGCAGCAGCTTTTGGAACTCTACTTCAGGCAGGTGGGTCCTCGACCTTTCAGAGTGAAACACTTACCTGCTCGGCCTCTGTTCTGTTCTGCACAGGGGCTTCAAGGACATTGCTCATGGCATTGAATAGGTAGCCAGCGGCCTCCTTTCGCCCCAGGTCACTTTTGACATCCGCTTTATTCACAGCGAGCAAGGACTCACTGACACTTTTCAGAGTATGACTGGCTTCCACCTAGGCCGGAAAAGAGGTCCCTGAATACACACGCCCCACCCCAAATCACAAGAAGGCCTCCCCCCCACCCCCCGGTCATTCCTTGGCTTCCTTCTATACAAACCCCATGTAGGCGATCAGGCAGGAGTGAAGCGGCACCCCTCGCAAGTCCAGCATGGAACCACGAGGATTGTTTCTGGGGGAGGGCATTGCACATCCAAGCTTTGGTCAGTACAAGGAGGAAGGTTCACAAGATTGTTCTTCTTTGTGCGATGCCTGCCCTCCTGTCCAGTTGCTCAAGGCCCACAAAGGGGGACTGAGATGTTGAAAACCTTATTCTTAGTAAGGAGCAGAGGAAACAATGCAACGGTTTCTGTATCCCCCTCCACCACTGCCTCCCCAATTTTTCATTGCTTTCCTTCACAAGCTGTGGAATGAACTGAAGTGCTTTAGGACATTCCCCCACCCCACCCCTCAGTTCTCAGAACAGCAATACCACCTTAGCTATTTCTGCATGGCCCACACTCAGGTGAGAAAATACATTACCTGGGCTGCTCACCTGTGCCGAGGAAGAAAGCTCCTCGCTCCGGTAAGTGATATCTTGGAGCACCTCTGACATCTTCAGAGCGGTCTGCATCGATGTCACGTCAACAGTGGAGAGGGTGGTCAGCATGAGCTCTCTCAGCTTGGGGTGCAAGGGGAGAGCGTTGGAGACAGAAGGCGCCTGCGAGGCAGAGCTGCAGCGCAGTCACCCCCGACCTGAGCCTCTGCCGTCCAGGGTCCACCCGTCCCCATCAGAGGGAAGGGCTGCTGGCCTGCCTTCTGCACTGACCTTTCCACTGGTGTGTACGTACTGCTAACGTTTGACGTTTTGACTGTGGGTTGCTTTATCATTTTAATTGGAGTCATATTTTTATTATTTTGCATATTCCATTTTCATTGAAAGACATTTGGGGTATTACTTTAAGTGCTTTAAAGGATGCAGCTCAACTAAAATGGCTTCCTTCTTCCCTCCCATTCTTTACTGCTGCAATCGCTTTCTTTTTTATTTTTTAGATGATTAATAACAGTACAAATGCAAAAAAAAAAATCAATAACAATGACAACAAAAACCAAACCCCCATACAATGATATTTGGGAGCTGTTCATTGAACACGTATGAATAAAAGGGAAAGGTATCAAATGTTTATGTGATTTAATACAGTTTTGGATGGAAGGGGGCAATCCCAAAGAGGGAAGCATGGAAGAGGAAGTTAAGAAGAAGGGAAGGAATTATTAATTGTTATGTAGCCAAGGTCCTGGAAGCGGGGGCGGGGGGCGTGCACCAGCCATCCCTTTCTTGATTGGCACAGATGCAGCTTGTTTATTTATTTACATTTGTATAAAATGAAGATGGCATAATATTCGGGGATTTACACGGGGTTCACTCCCACGTGCTGACCGTTCCGATGTGGCAGAAGGACCGTGCACCTTCAGTGCCATGTACCTGGTGCTCATGGACGAGGCCATGATGACAAGCACGGCCAGCAGGGCCAGGGGTGACAGACGCGACTGACCTCTTTCCGTGCGTCTGCCTGCAGAGAGGAAACGACACTGTCTTCCTTCGTCTCTTGATTGAGGACGGAAGAGATTGACTTGTACAACTGGAACAGGGACATGCTGCTGTTCTCTCCTTTCAGGATGGCGTTTGATTTTTCCGAAATAATGGCCTGCAAGGTCTGGTTCCCACTGCTTATATCCTCATCCGTAACCTATAAAGCAAGGGGGAAATGCTCACAGAACAGTTGATTCCACGAGCATCAAGGACATCTCCAAACTTGTGCAGCTGAGTGCAAAATGCATGTGCCGTTAACTGCATCTTTAGCCCTGGCATGGTTGGCTTGTGGCAAATAAATAGCAGAGAGGCAGGGCCTCTGATTCAGATCAGAAGCATGGCATGAAGGGCAAGCAGCAAGAACGCTTGGCTAACCCGCAGTCCCAGTTCCAATCCCATGTGCATCGGCGATGGGAGGACAGCGTTTCTCTCAATGGCAAATTACAGAGCAAGTGTACGGTGTATAATTGTAGACAGTGCAGGCTGAAATGAGGCCTGTTGTGTACCCAGAAGCTTCGGAACCACTTCTGGACTTTATGAAAGAGAGATTATACATGAGTAAATGATTTAACATGTGACAGAAGGTCCCGGTGGAGGGATGCACTCTCGTTGTTGCTGCACAGTTTTAATTGTTTTGAAAAAAAAATCCATCTTATTTGTACTGTTTACTGTTTTTGTGTATGTTACGAATTTCCTTTGGTTTTGCTTTTTAATTGATTTAATAAAGATAAAAGTATAAAATTTAAAAAGGATACGATATAAAAAAAATTATTACACATAAGTAAATATACCCAGGCAAATGAGCATAGATTGTGGGGTTAAGGGGATCTTAGGCACTGTGAAATGCAGCCTTTCTGTTCTTCCCGAGGCTGTGATCTGATGTTTTTAGTGTTGCTTTGCAGCTAAATCTGAAGCAGAGCACATGAATAATTTCCTGCGTAATTTCCAGGCTGTACTAACCCGCCACAGCAAAGACTGCATGTGTTCTGCTACCTGACAGACTAAAAGCTTTAATATACTAGAAGCTTCTGTGGACTATAATTGAATTTGTTTGTTTAATTTGTATACCATCCAACAGCCGAAGCTCTCTGGGCAGTTCACAATAGCATGTTAAGAATAGCAGTCAAAGGTACATAGTATTAAAACATCATAAATAGTTTACAAAACAAAATTCAAAACTAAATGTAAAACAGATGAATCTATACAAAATATAAACAATCTTCAGACCTGTTTAACAGCTAGCAGGCCTCAGTAAACTACCTAAATGTCTGCGAGAGAAGTCGGTCTTTACCTGGAGCTGAAAATGCAGAAAAGCTGGCGCCAGGTGGGCCTCAGCGGGGCGTTTATTCCACATCTGGAGAGCCACCACTGCAAAGTTGTTGCCATCATCCATGCCTCCTTCCGAGTGCTAGTGGGAGGTATGCCTCCGAACTTGATCGGATGAAGGTTGGGGAGGCATTTCTCAGAGAGGTGTTCATCAGGTGCATGAACTATTCTCAGGAGTTTGGGGCATATATATAGTAAGCATGGCTGGGATGGGGGAAAGGTGGAAGTGGTAAACAGCAATATCAGTGGGAGCACAAATGCAGGATATACTGCTCTGTTTCACACGTAATACCTAAGAGTGAAACAACCCAGGGGTTGTCACTGGAGAAACGGAGGGATATGAATTCTGGACACCTTGGAGAAAAGGTAGGATATAAACCGGGCATATATATAGGTATGCGCATGACGGCTTAGAATGTGCATTGTCTCACTTTCCTGGAAGGGAACATTTGGGAGCAGGCTGCAAACAGTTGTGAAAGCCACAAGCCATGTGCCACCTACCCTGACAGTGGCGTTGGTGTGAACGGTGTCCCCGTAGCCGTTGCTTACTGCAATGCTAATCTGCAGAAGAAAGTCGTCTTCCTCTTGTCCAGGTGGAAGGTAAACTGAAGAGAGAGCCGGATCTGGTCCACAGTGTAGGAGTGAATCTGGAAGGGGTGGGAGAGGGCATGGTTGATCCACAGGCCAGAGGAGGAAATGGGCTTTTCTGTGTCTGAGAAGCCTCTGCTTCACCAGCCGGGGACAAAATGGCCCCTTGCACACTGATAAATGATGTGTCACTTCTATCCATGGAAAGCCTGCAGCCCCCAGAGACAAGCCAGGCCTCTCAAGGGGAAGGTGAGGGAACAGGCTCCTGCCAACCCCTTCCCACCAGCCCCCACACCATCCTGCTCCTCCTGGCAGGCAGTGCTGGACCAGGATTGGGCCTCTGCCTGAGGGAGGTCCTCAGCCTCAAGCGTGAGGCCCTTCCTGTGCTCACGCTGGCCTCTCTGCTTGAGAGCCTTGAAGAGAGGGGGCCTGCTCCGCCTTCACAGGGTGTGCCGTGGAAGGAGGTGCAAGTCCAAGGAGGTCCTGGGGGTCCATCTATGTGGCCTGAGGGTGCTCCGTGAGTCAAATCTGTCACCGGAGGCCTGGTGGCATCAGGGACATGTAGTGCCTTTTACCAGCCTTGGCTGATGGACCAGCTACACCCCTCCTAGCCCAAGGATAACCTGGCTTCAGTCATTTATGCTCTGCTAATCTCTAAGCTAGACTACTGCACTGCACTCTACCTGGGGCTGCCCTTGAAGACTGCTCAAAAGCTGCAGGTTGTGCAAAATGTGGCAGCCAGAAGGTCCAAGCACAGAACCCCAATTCTGGGCTGCTTGCATTGGCTGCTGGACCTCATTGGCTTCCAAGACCAAGTCAAGGTGCTGGTTTTAGCTTCTAAAACCTTGCATAGCTTGAGACGACTGCAATACCTGGCGGAACAGCTCTCCCAGCCACAAACTACCCACGCGCTATGATCGAGAACTGGGGCATGCCTCTGGTTGCCTGCTCCAAAGGAGGCCCAGTTCATGGCAACAAGGGGAAGGGCCTTTTCAGTGGTGGCCCAGTTATGCAACAAGCTCCCCACTGAGGCCCACCTGCCACCAACCTTCCTATGTTTTGGGCACTGGGTTAAGACTGTCTTCTACGGCAGGGCTTTAATTAGTTTTATATTATATTGAGGCATTGTCAACTTCCTTACAGGTCTTGTGACTTAATCTGTGCAAGCAATTGCAGCTTCTTAACATTTGGTTTTAAATTTTGTAATGCCTTTTATGAAGTTTTACTGTATCCGTATTGTTTTTTAATCTGTTTTCAAGGCTTCTCCCAAAGATCACTGGGAGTTCCTCTTTGGTGTAGTTGCTGAGCAATTTTGGCTCCCTCCCCAGAGTGCCCTGCAGAGAGGCAATGATTATTAGAACGGTCCATTCTAAACCACACTTTTCAGTAATTCTTTAAAGTAAGAACTACACATAATAGGACATTTTAAATGTTCCAGCCGTACCCCGAAATGGGCCCACCTGCTGAAGCAGCCCTTGGGGTGGCAAACCTCATGCTTAAAGAGGCCAAACCAGGCCGTTGTTGCAAGTAGCAGCCTTGCTCCTTCCAGAAGCACATGGGACCCGTTTCTGCTGCAGAGCTGGCACACTGAATGCCGTTTGGAGGGTGCCATTTAGGCTAAATCCAGCAGCCGGTCCCTGAGCCTCAGGTGTATAGCAAGCAACCCGTCTTCAGCCCTCGCTCCTCAGGTTTCAGGTCCATGTCCAGTCGGCAGTGTAACTCTTTCATGCAGTGACCAAAGCGCTTAATGAGCTCCCCACAAGCTATTCCAGGCCAGGAAACCCGCTTCAGCATCACAGACAGCTCCGCGAACGCTCGAGCGAAAGCACAGCATCACTGTGCCTCCCCACTGACCCCAGGGCCATCTTCGCAGAAGGCAAGCGGCCACCTGTGACTTACTTGGCTCCAGATAGAAACAGAATGTGAGTGAGGAGCCGCCGATGGCAGCACACTTGTCCACGAGGCAGAAGTAGCGGCAGGAGACAGAGAAGCTGGTGAGCACCGATCCTTGTGCAGGAGACACGCTGCACGCCGGAACCGCTGGGGGTGGCACAGTGCTGACAACGTAGCTCTCTTCGCCATATTTGCGCTCACTCGTCACTGGAAGTTGTTAGACACAAACAGGTCAGACAGCACGGTTGGGGCCAGGCTAGGGTTCACTCTCCGATAAACCATTTATTTTCCTGCATGAAATAGTCCTTTGTTTACTATGGAACAGTCCAGCCTATTGCATGGTGTCCATTACCAGACCCATCCCAGGATTCCTATTGCAAGACAGGCTGTCCTACATAAGTGTCAATACCTGAGACAGCTTCAGGGCTCCCCCTGCTGGCCAAGGACCCACACAGCCGCCCTCGTAGTTGCCGGAGTGCCACCCAATCCACTGCAGCTGCCAGGGCTCTCATGCGCTCCGCCTGGGAGCCCTGGGAGAAGGGCTACATCAGCACTCGCTCTTCCCCCCAGAAGCTGCTTTGGCAAGGAAGCTTCTCCTGCTTGCTGACCGTTTGGACTCTGCTCCTGGAATGCTGTCCATCACCCTGCCCCTGCTCTGCTTGTGATCCTGTGCCTGCTCCCGATCCTGGACCCTACCTGGTTTCCTGGCTTGCTCCTCCTCTTGCTCCAGCCCCTCAGGTGCCTGCTCCCCTTGGCTTGTCCCCTCAGTTTCCTGACTCCCGGCTTGTTTGACCCCTCCGACCTCTTGAACGGATTCTGCCTTACGCTTCAGCTGCCAGTTCAGACCTCGGACTGTCTGATGGAGCTCATGGACGACCCTTGTGCCCCCACTCCAGTGCCCTGTCTGTTAGCCAGCCACCCACGCCCTGGGCGCGGGCAGCAAGGCATTGAACACTGTGGAAACAAACTTTGCAAATCACAGCCAATGAATAGAAGCCAGTGCTGATTAATAGGATGACTAAATGCGACCTAAATAAAGAGACAGCAGTTTGGGCGAGCTGGAGAACAGCTGGCTAAGGAGACTAAGGCAAAGGGGGGAAAGTGCAGGGTCAAGTAGGCGGCTGTTTTGTGCATAGCTGTGTAGCCATCAGCACAAATAAATTTTAAGTAAATCATGAGATGGAAGGTAACTGGATGTTAAAGTAACTTCCCTTTTTTATAGGAACTTCTCTTTTTATGCCCACCAGGAAGCTTCGTTCACCTCTAAACTCACTCTGTGTCCTCAACTATAAAAACTTTGTGTAAGATGTGGGAGGGTGGCCACCTTGCGGTTGACAAACCCCCCAGGAGAGCCCTCCCACAGTGCTGTGTCAATAAAGAGCTGATGGACCGAGTCTCAATCATTTGGGGAGGGGCACAGGGGGTTCTATTTTCATGGAACAGCTTTCTTCCAAACATGCAGTAGCCATTCCTTATGGGAAGATGTTTGTAGGTGACCTCATGAGTTTTTCTTCTGTGCCTAGCCAGCCATTTCAGTGAGCAGGAAAACACGGCATTAAATCATAGAAGAGTAGCGTTGGAAGGGGCTTATGAGGCCAGAGGGTCCAAGCCCCTGCTAAGGGCAGGGCTCCAAGTTAAACTGCTCCTCTCAGATGACTGTCCAGCCGCATCTTGAATTCCTTCAGTGTGGGAGAGCCCACCACCTCCCCAGACATTGGTCGCATGGTTGTGCTTCTCTAACACTCAGGGAGTTCAGCAGAAATCTAGCTTCTTGTAACTTGAGCCCATTATTCTGTATGTTGTGCTTTGGAGTGATCAAGAACAGATCCTGGCCCTCCTCGGTGTGACAACCTTCCAAGGCCTCGAAGAGTGTTGTCACATCCCCTCAGTCTTCTCTTCACCAGGTTAGACATGCCCAGGTCTTTCGAACTCTCATCATGGGGCTTTGTTGCAACAATGGGAGAAAGTGTGATTTCCTGTTCTCTGTTTTCACTGTCCTGATAAATCCCAGCCCTCCATCTAGAGATTATTCATTGCAGTGGCTCAGATCTCAATTCTATGACAAATACAGCAGAGGTACAGCTTGGAAACCTCATTGGCTGCTCTTTGTGCCAGGAGTGACTCTAAAGTAGGCATTTATTTATGTATATATTCATTATATTCAGCATTATCGTTATCCTGCTTTTCCAGTAATACTCATAAAATGCTCACTGACAGGAAAACCAATTAACAATATACAGTATTACAACCATCAGTCTAAAACAGGAAAACAGCAAATAAAATAATAAAATGGGTTATCCATATTCTAAATCTCACACCTGTTACTTTGATTCTAAAGGCTTCTCTTTGTGTTTGCAAGAAAGACGTGTTCAGCACCAGCGTGGTTGTGTTACTCTGAAGCAACATGAGGGAACTCTGAGGAAAACCATTCAAGGTACAGCTTGGTGGAAGTGGACTGAGCTGCGGAGAAAAGGGGGGAAAGCCGATAAAAAGCCATTTTTCAGTGAGCTTTCCACCATATCCTCCAAAATGCCTGCTTGAGAATTTCATCTAGGCCCCAGATGGCTGTATTAATTTTTCCATTAAAAAACTGTATTATCAGCTTTTGATAGGCTTACCTCTCTGTCTCTTAAATCCCGTTTTGTACTGGAGCTTAAGCCTAAAGGAAGTGTGCTTTGGGATTGCAGATTTAAGTTTTTAAAACAGGCTGTTATTGCTTTTTCATTGGCACAAGGCCATCATCTGGAACCAGGTGCAAAACTCTGGCTCAGGAGGAGAGACGGCCCTTAGCATCAAGGAACAGAATGGGCTGACGCACGTGCGAGGACAACCAGGAGTGTGGGTTGAGTACGGATTGTCACTGAATTGTGGGTTATTTGTGAACTGTGAGTTGTCACTACACGGAAACCCTGCATTGTGGTTTAATCCCAACCCTATGGGTTGTTCACCATAAGCAACACAGAAGTCACAACCCAATAGCAAAAGACGGGCTCTTTTCCTGGGTTGGTTGTGATTAACAATCACACTTCAACCAGAGTACTGGATTCACATATGATAACCCATGATTTAAAGACAACCTACACTCAGACTGTACTCTGGCTTTTTACATGTGAAACAGGTCATTATCCTGGAGCACATACTCTGCTCAAGAACTCGTTTTCACTGCCTGAACAGAGCCCAGCACCCTTTCTCACAAAAATTTCTTCCTGATTTTCTCACAAAAATCTGCTTTCTTCATTTCAGCAATCTAACTGGTAGAGAGAAGAAGAAAACACAGAAGAGCAATAGCTTTTTTGGAACCAACCAAAATGCTATGAAAAGTGTGCAAGGCACTCCAACGGAGCCAAGCTCAGGGAAGCAAAGTTCCATTTGGATGCCAGGAAGCACTTCCTGACAGTCAGGACCCCGAGGGTATGGAATGGGCTTCCACAGGAGGTGGCTGAGGCCCCATCGGTGCGGGTGTTCACGGATAGGCTGGACATGCACATGGTGGGGATGTTGTGAGCGGAGCCGGCTGGAGCCGGGGGTCAGACTAGATGGTCTGAGAGGATCCGACTCGCTCTGTTTCTATGTTTTACAGCATGCTGGTTGATATTAAGAAAGATATGGGCCAACTTGCATTTTGTTCTGATAGTTCAAGTTCAACTATCGAGTTTTTAATTAGGAAAAAGTTTCTTTATTCTTCCTATTGTTGCAAAAGGAGTCAGAATCTTACCAATCTAGTGCAAATAACCCAGGGTTTGATAGGCAGTCAGTCCCTCCCTTGGAAAACATGTTTTGAAGTAGACATTGAAAACAAGAATGAAGGAACAGCTGCGTCAGCCGCATGGAAAGCAGACGTGTGCCGTGTGTGTCATCTTGGAGACTCCTGTTCCCGGCACACCAGCAATGTTTCCCATATGTGACGGCCAAAATGCATAGGAAACTGCCACTCGTACCAGGTCTGATGGTTTGTCCAGCCAGCCCAACTTGTGACCATCAGGATGTTTTGGCTCCCATTCAGCTCCCGTGAATTCTCACCGTTGGTTATGCTGGCTAGGGCAGACACTGGAGGGCTATCAGTTGCCCACTCCAGTCTAGCCCAGGACTGCTCACCAGGACAGTCGATGGCTCTGAGGCAGGGGAGGTGCATCCAGTCGCCTTCCACCTAGTCCTGTCCACTGGAAATGGTACAGGCTGAGTGTGGACCTTGCGTATAGACGCTGCTCGGTTATGGATCCCTTTCCCATTCACGAATAAATTAAAACTTGGGGCACATGGCAGTCTGTTCCCAGCAAGGTTTGTTAAAAAGGAGACCTTCCCTCAGTGCAATTCCCTGCCGCTCACACGAACTGGGGATCTGGGAGCAACTCCTGACTGCGTATTTTCCGCACAGGCAGTGGGCAACTTCCTCTGAAGGCAGGCAAAGCTGCCAAGTCTCTGTGCTGGGGAGGACCAGAGTACAGATTCAGTGGCATAATTACCCCAGGGAAGCTGGCCGTGGGGAGGGAAACCCCTACCAGCAATGCACGCAGCAGGAGCATCACTCGAGAACAATGGGTTTAAACACCTGCTTTACATCCACAAGGTATCTCCAGGGCAAGGAGAGAGCCCTGTCTGCCACCAGGCATGGTAACCTGGGGACCTCCGGGTGCTGGAATACAACTCCCATCATCCCTGACCATTGGCCATATTGGATGGGACTGGTGAGAGCTGAAAGCCAACACTCCCTGGCGCACCACAGGTACCTTCTCCCTGGTGTGGAGTTAAATGGGCCGATGGTCCTCTTTGGTGTAGCATAACATCTGATGCTCCAAAGCCATGGCTGACATTCTCCTCCGTGGCACAGGACATGGCTTTTGGCTTCCTGAGGCAAAGAAGAAGACGGCACCTGACTCCACTGATGCACAAAAGCCAGCGAGAGCGGCAGTTGAGACGTTTGTCCACACTGATGATAGGACCTTGTGCCTCTTGCACCTGCAGGTAGCCGGCTAATTTAGGGGACACAGAATGGGCCACGTGGCACACGGCTCTCTCCTCCAACGCTTTCTGCTACCTCCCAGCTTGAGGTGGCTACTTCACTCTGCCTGACGGTAGCCACTGGTCAGGGAATTGGAGCTCACAGGAGCCCCTGGTTTCTTTATTTCTCCTAGTCCATTGTCCATTCTCACATGGAACATTATTGTGTACCTGTGCAGAGCTACTGACTTGCAGGAGGAGCTCACCTTGCTCTGGAACGTGTGATCTAAATACCATTTGTAGAGGATCGCTTTTGAGTCTTCCCCTGAAGAGACGCGGAGTGTGACGTCTTCAGTGGCATTCACCGGCTTCTTGCAATTCGTCTTGCAGCTAAAAGTAATGCAGGAGCCACGTTAGCACACACAAGAAATGCCCAGAAAAGCAGGGGAGAGATGTGGGTTTGCCTCCCAAATAAGCTCTGAGCAAAGGCACGGAACCGTCTTCAGCCAAAGGGCCAAATCCTATTTCATATGAGCTCTCGGGGGAGCATTCCAGTGCTGGGTGAGGTGAAAGGCAAAAGGGACAACATTACTAAAGAACCAGCTTTCTGTAGCTTAGCAGCCTCCATGCCAATAACTAATGAGAGCCATTTCAAGTTTTTAGAACAGGGCAAAATGCACAAAAACCGGGAAGCCACCAAACAGTTTGGAATTGGGGGAAAGGGGGCAGGGCTAGGAAAAGGGGCGTGGCCTTTGAGGAACCCTGCTGGGGAGAGGCAGTTTGGTGCCCCAGTCCGATGTTCTGCTCTAAGGCATTCTTACACAAGAGATACTGTTTTGCATGCACTTCAAATAGCCTTGAAGGTTTGAGATGCCAACATATATTCCCTGTCCATATATTCCTCTATCAACTTATTTTTGCTCAAAGCTCTTACTGCCACTAACTAGGCTCTTGGCAAAGCAATTCAGCCATTTAAAATAGGGGGAACATGCAAAAGTTGGCCAACCACCAAACAAGTACAGGGCATGGAAGGAACATGATCGGGCCCATGGACCTGAGGGTCAACACCACTGGTCTATAATGAGCAAAACATCTGGAGAACAGGAAGTTGTTGCATTGGCTTCCAATCTACACAGGAACTAGTGGGGGACATACCGTGACCCTCGTCCATCTCACAGGTTTTGGTCCAAGCAGCATGCACAAGAAGTACCAGGATTAAGAGAGGCTGGTTTCCTAAAAGGTCTCTATCAGACATTTTCAGAACCTCAGAGCTTGAGGAAACACTGGAGGTGTAGCACACCTGATCTGAATGCTCAGCTCACGCTTGGCTGTTATGTAGAGGCACTGCTCGTCCTGTTCCTCCTCCTGCTCTTTGTTCTTCACTGTAACTTTAACAGTCACTGCTGAGCTGGGAGGTGGTAAACAGGCATGTGGGATTTGGATCTCCCTTTGGTCTGTAGGGATCGATCGCTTCCGGATGCATTCAGACCACTCAGGCCAGCAGGAGCCTACAACAAAGGCACTTCTGAGCGGCATCGCTTGCTGTTAAGGATCTCCTCTTATCCATCCTAGAACCTTGCCCAAACATTAAGAAAGGTCCTGCCTGGGGTTGTTCCAAGACAATTCGGGGGAACAGGCTCGGAGTGGGGTGGAAATGGGAGGAACTTTAGAGCCCACCTCCGCATTCTGCAGCTCAGTGACACTGCTATCCAGAAACACAACAGTTTTGTAGAAACTTTCTAGCTTTAGGGAACCTCCTAAAGACCTGAAGACCCTCTCCCAGCAGCATGCAATAGCAACTGCCGCCTTGAAGGAAGAAGCACCAACAGTTCCATATGTAACTAGATAGCTAGATATATCTATCAAACATTCGGCTCACTTAGGGCTTTTCTACACAGCTGTTTCATCTATTTTCAGTTTTGTTACACAACTGAGACCCAAGTTCAACCTAGAGGTGGCACTGCAGTGTAGCAAAATGGCACAAATGCCCCAGTAGGGACTGCTTTTTCTTTGACATTCAGGCATGTTCCCCATTTTCCCTGCCCTGAAAATCCCCCCCCCCCCCCCGCCCTCGAAAGTGCTTGCAAGCCAACTGTTTACAAACAACAATGAAACTGGAGGGCATTGTCTAAAGGACCCATAGAAAACCATAAACAAAGAATGATGACTGCATGATCCCAGAATAGGATTTCTTTTCTTAGTTGTGCTGACCATTCTGGCCACCAGAAATGGAACAGAAGGACCAGGAAACAGCCGCGGAATGCTTACCACAAGACCATGAGTAGAGCGAGTTGTTGCTAGTTTCATCCGGCCAGCCCAGAGTAATGGGTGTGAAGAGACCAGCGTGACGGCTGGGCTTAACGTACATCCTGTTTTTCCTTTTCTCATCCTGAGGCAGAAGCAAAGGCAATAATTCTGTGTAAGCAGGTGGACTATCTTTTGAAAAAGGCATATTTCTTACCCTTAAAGGGACACTTTTCTTTGCTGAGGAAAGTTTACAGTTTTTCTCTTGTGCTGCAGGGTCTACCTTCCTCAAGGCGGGGCCTTCTGGATGTGTAGGACCACAATCCCCATCATCCTCCACCAGCAGGGCTACAGGCTGGCTGAAGTGATGGGAGTTATAGCCCACTGTATCGACAAGGCACCAACTTGAGGAAGGATGATTCCATGGGAGGAATTACCAGATCTTCAGCACTCTGGGGACTTCCTGAACATGTGGGAATTTGAATGGTGTTTTTGGACATGGTTCAAATAAAAGTGCAAAATTATTGTTTTGTGTTGCTTTCGTGTTTCTCTTATACTGTATGCCAACCTAATGGTTTCAGGAAAATGCAACATAAAATAAATAGCTGATGTTAAACCACTACATCACAGTGTGAAAAATAAAGCCAGTTACTTAAAATGTAGGGAATATTCCCAGGATGAAATTCTTAGCTATATTTCCCCACTAACTTACCAAAGTGCCATCAATACTCACAACTTTTCTTTTAGCATAGGCATTGGATTGCTCTTCATTTTCTTCTGCAAAGAACAAGGTGTGAGGTTTAATAACACCTGCTGATGAAATGCAGGCTTTTTCTGTGTAAATAACAATTACTTTTTCCCTTCATCTACATGAAAGTCATGCTAAAAGTGGAAATGGATACTATAAAACAAGTTGCATGTATGGAGGCAGATTTCAGTTCTCCGATCTCTGGGGCTGCCATGCGTTCAGACAGCCCCACTGGCTGCCTCCGCTTCTGTCCCGATGGTCCCTGCTTTAATGCATTCTGTGGCCAACAAAGCTTGGTCTGGGCACATGCATGTAGAACGTGTTGGCAGTGTCCTCACGACATGCTAACCATCGTTTGAGGCTCCGGGCACAAGCAGGAAGGAGCTGCAAATGCCCGGGCCTGATCCCTACCCCATCCCCACACCCTCTCCCAGTGCAAGTGTGGGGGAAGGCAACCCCATCAGTGTTTCCATTCCGTCTCTTTGAACCTCACCTTGTTGCCTGTCATTCCAAACTTTGTCCAGTTTCAGGACAAGCCAACTGGTCATAGGTTTGAAGCCAGATTGTTTAACTATATGCTTATTAGTTATCTATTGGATAGTGTTATTTTATCCAGTGACAATTTAGCATTTTCTAGGAGCCTGTCTTACCTTCTTTAGCAGAACTGTTAGATGACACAGTGACAGTTCCTACATCAATGCTCATGTTGGAGAAGGCATTCATTGCAAACACCTTGACCAGAAAGGTACCTGGAAAGGACATATTGTCAAAGATAAATAGGAGTCGCCATTAAAAATTGTGTTTAGGAACTCAAAGATGGGGCTTGGCACATTAATGGGTGGAGCATAGTAGGTTCAGGAGCCAAGCCTACTGGGCCGCCAGAAGTTGCCTTACTCTGCCGTGACAGATTCTGGTTTATCTAGTCCAGTAGTGTTGGCACTGACTGCAGTGGCTCTTTAGAGTTTCAGGCTGGAGCTTTCCTGGCCCTGTCTGATATGCTCGGGACCAAACCTGAGACCTTCTGATTGCAAAGCTTGTGCCACACCACTGAGCCACGGACCCTGCCAATCAGGGAGAAGTAGCCCGTGTGGCATCGTGGTGAAGAGCATGGGACTGGGACTCAGGCGAGCTGGGTTCGAGTCCCCGCTTGGCCACTGGGTGACTCTGGGCCAGCCACAGACTCTCAGCCCAACCTACCTCACAGGGTTGTTGTTGTGAGGATAAGATGGGGAAGGAGAATGATGCAAACTGCCTTGAGCCCTTTGTAGGAAAAAGGCAGGATATAAATCAAAGGGGGGGAAAAAGTACTACAAGTTGATCAGGAGGCATTGTGTGGCAGGTGAGAAGTGAAGCCTGAAGGATAAAAGTGGGAGGAAATGCCATTCACATGTGGTTTTGGTGTACAGTGTGCTTTAATCACAAGGATGCGCTTGTGCATAAAGCAAAACTGCTTCCTCTCTTGCTTCACCCCAATTTCAGGGAGTGAAATTGAGCATTGCCAGGACCATATGCATCCACAATAAAAGACAGAGGAAAGAAATGGGGTTCGTCTACTCACTGTAGATGGCAAAATGGTCACAGATGACAAAGTAAAGGCAAAGGGGCTCAGTTCCTACTTTGGCTCAGTCTCCTCCTAAAAGAGGATCTATGACCTCCCTGACAAAGCGCAAATGCAAGCTGAAGCAGCAGGATGGCGGCTTGAGGTTGATAAGCAAATGGTCAAGTGACATCTAATTCTGCTGAATGAGTTCCAATCTCCAGGGCCGAATGAACTCTGTCCCAGAACAACAAAGGAGCTGCTCCAGAACCACTAGCTATGATCTTTGAGAAATTATGGAGGCCAAGGGAAGGCCAAATGACTGGAGGAGGACACTGTTGCCCCATCTTCAAGAAATGGGAGGAGGGTGGGAAAAGTTAAAGACAAAATTGTATAATAAATTACCAAGATGGCTTTCACCTATGGAAGCTCTTGTATATCCAAATGCATTGAACTTTGAAAGGATCATAAGATATGATGACATTTTGGATAATGATGGAGGATTGAAATTGAATCAAGAAATACAAGAACAAGGATCTAATATTTCTTGGTGGCATAAGGTGCAGATACAATCGAGATATGCTAAAGACTATAAAATGTGGGGCTTTTTTAAAGATTTAACAGCATTTGATCAGGTGATGCTTAAATCAGATGAGAAAATGATTAAAAGACTATATAATTTCTTACTCAATAGGAGAATGGAAGATGAGCAGGTTAAGGAAACTATGATAACGTGGGCACAAAACTTTGGATATAATATTGAACTAGAAAAATGGCAAAAGCTGTGGGAGAGAAATATTAAGGTAACATTAGCAACTTCGTATAAAGAAAACCTGTATAAAATGTTTTATAGATAGTATCTGTCGCCAAATAGATTAGCTAAGATGTTTCCAAATATGTCAAATGGATGTTGGAAATGTAAACATAAATTGGGTACTTTCTATCATATGTGAAAAAGTATTGGATTAAAATGCATAAATGGCTTGAGGAAATGTTACAAAAATCCTTAGCTTTTAAACCTGAAGTTTTCTTATTAGGCATCATACCAGTTGATATTAGTAAACAACAAATGTACTTGATTTTACATGTAATCACTGCGGTGAGGATTGCATTTGCTCAACACTGGAGAAGTGAAGAACTACCCCCCGATTAAATGACCCTAAAAAAGATCTTGGACTGTGCAGAACTGGATAGATTGACTTTGTCATTGAAGGAGAAAGAAGATACTGATTTGGGACTCTTTTTATTACTGGCTAGAGAAACAGGACTTCGTATAGATTTAAATATGTTTTTAAGTTATCATAAACAGAAAAAAATTTGGGGGCTGACCCAGCAGGTCCGATGTTTCTGATGATTGATGTTGTTTTTAGTTTTAGGGGGTTTTTAGGGCTAATTTGAATAAAACTTATTATTAAAAAAAAGAAAGAAATGGGAGGAGGGGAGAACCTGGTACCTATAGATTAGTGAGTTTGACCTCAATCCCTGGGAAAATTCTGGAGCAAATTATAAATCAGTCTGTCCGCACATACAATGCACTGATGACAAGAAGCCAACATGGATTTGTCAAGAATGAGTTCTGGTTCCTGCATCTAAGCAGAGCAGAGCAGAGCAAGCTGCCCCAGCTGGTCCAGGGCCTCTGGGATACAAGCAGCCAAGCTCCCAGGGAGCGAGTGAACAGGAGGGGGAGGTCCAGGGAGAGGTCCCTAACTTTTTTCCCCGTTATGCTGCTCTTCCTTATTTCACCTTAATTCCCCTGCTGCATGTGGTAGCACGAGCAATGTACCAAGAAGACTCCACTGGGGTGGCCTACAACAACTGCAGCTGCTGCCCACTCGTACCCCTATTACAGGGAAAAGTGAGAGCCCGGGAGCAGCGAGTGTCCACCCTCTGGACAAGAAAGGAAAATGCAGAGTTTCTAGGCAGAGCGGAGGAGCTGCAACAGGTAAGTGCGGTCCAGAAGGAAAAGAACAACAGCGAGCCGAGGTGGCAGACGAGAACCCCGAGAGAAGAGAAAATGAGAAAACTCGCTAGAACAGGGTGACAGTTAGTGGAAATCCCAAACCTCTTCGAGATGCTTGAGGAAGAGACTGGTGAGAAACCCACTGAATAACTCTTTTTCAGACACACTGAATAACTCTTTTTCAGAGACAAAAGGCCAATCAAACAAGGAAAGGGATAGCAAAATTTGCAACAAAAGGAGAAGAGTGCTAGTTGTGGAAGAAGATGGAAAAAATATGTATTTTATGATGACCCAGAGAATCACCAAGTATGCTGTCTCCCTGGCGCCAAGCTTAAAGATCTAACCAGCAAGTTCACACAACTCATACGACCCACTGACAAATACCCCTTCCTTCTCTTCCACGTGGGAACTAACAACAGTGCCATGAGAAGTTTTGCTGATATAACGTCAGACTTCGAAGCTCTAGGGAGGAAAGCACTGGGGCCCAGATAGTCTTCTCGTCAATCCTATCAGTACATGGAAGAGGAACTGTTAGAGAAAGAAAAACCCTTCAAGTGAATGACTGGCTACGATGGTGGTGCAATTCTGGGACCACAGGCTAAGCTTTCCGGAAGATGGACTGCTGGCAAATGATGGGCTGCACCTCACAAAGAACAGGAAGCAGGTGTTTGGCCACCACATGAAAAACCCCATCAGAAGAACTTTAAACCAAAACCTATAGAGGAGGGAGCATGGCATACCATCACCTGGCAAAGACGTATATATTTCAACAGAGAAAAAAACCTCAAGCACGGCTCAGCACCAGTCTCCCAAGAAACGTAGAAAGAAAACCAGGGCACAGTGAGAATGAACTTCAAAGTCTCTGGACCAATGCCCAGAGTATGGGAAACAAGCAACATGAACTTGAGTTCATAGTACACAAGGCCAATTATGATCTTACAGGAATACCTGAAACTTGGTGGGATGACACATGACTGGAACTCTACAATTGATGGCTACAACCCATTCAAGAAAAATAGAAAGGACAACAAATGCTCCAGTGGCCGGCAAACGTCCACCTGCCTAGCCTTCAAGCCTTGGACAGCATCCCACAATACTGACCCTCCATGAAAGAACACAGCCTTCCCAGTAGAAATACAAAAATATTGTCAAGTTGGCAATTCTATCCCAGCTGAAATCTGAAATGCGAAACATGGGTTTGAATATCTAGTCCAGGGTACTCCATAGTCCAAACCCTTCCTTATAGTTAGCAGACTCAGTACACATTTCTCTCCCTTCCACCGCAGTCCCGGATTTCCTAGTTATAAATAAGACTGATTTGAACCAGTTATATGGCAATACCTTCAAACTTCACTGGGATCCTGTATGTTCTGGTTTCTTCTTCAGGGCCATCCTCCAAATGGGAAAATGTTTCATTCAGCCCAATCACCTCGAACCTCAGTTTTTCAGGGGCCCCATGCTTTGCAGAGACTTCTATCTGCAAATCATCTCCCACTTCCACAGAGGAGGAGGTTAATCTGGCTTGTAGATCAGAGATGGGCTCAATAAAATGGACTGTGAGCATTTCCATAACTTCTGATTCTGTGGTGTTGCTGGAGGCAACAATTTTCAGCGGATGCATCCCAGGACCTATCAGCCGCTGCGTCTCACCATCCAAGGTCAGATTATGAGGAAGAAGTCCCCTCTTGGCACTCGACTCCATCAGAGTCTTGTTACCAGCTAGCACAGTGTAGGTTACTCCACTTCCTGAAAAGCAAAAGATTTCCCAAATGTCCTTCTCCAGCTACTGAATGAATCATTAATCACCATCACCATCAAAATAAAAGATTAAGAAGAAGAAGAAGTTGCTATGTGGTATAAATTACACCATGTTTGTTTGTATAGTGGTGTGAATACTATTATTATCATTATTACATTTATATGACCCCGCATAGCCCATAGGGTTCTCTGCATGGCCCACAATAAAACAGAAATAATACAAATTCATTTTCAAAATATAATTCTAAAATCAGACAATATTCACATGCTTTCCTAGAGAAGAAGAATAAAACATAATGAAGAATCAAAGACAAATATAAAACACAGAAGCATTAAAATACTGTTAAAAACACAGGTTGGCAAATCCTTCCTGGGGTTTTTTGTAATCAACTCCCATCATTCCCAGCAGCATGGCTGAGAGTCAGGGATATTGTGCATTGCAAAGTTTGGACTTCCAGGTTGTGAAATGCTGCCAAACACCTTGACTGCAGTCCAGATGCAACTATCAATTATTATTTAAACCATTTCGATTACCTAGTCCTATCTACCAGACAGCACAGAGTGTTTTTAAAAAATAAAGTTTTGAAATACATTTAAAATGCAGCTGCAGGTAAAACATTTAAGAACAGAAAAGACATTTCACTTTTAAAAAAATTAAAACCAGAAGATAAACTATCCTGAACGAAATGTTACATTCAATGAACTAACACTCAGACTGGGCTATAGAGAAAGGTTTTGGAGAACAGTATGAAACCGCATCGGCTGCACCACATTTCTCGGTTTTTATACTGATTTCCTCCCAAATGCTTGGTGTTTATTCTTTTTTTTTCATTCATCTCAAATCTCAGCAGCACAAGACTTCTAGGACTATTTATTAAAAGAAGTAGCAGGAAAGGGAAAGAGCAGGAGCTTTCCTGTCTGCCATGCTGTAGTGGAACCTGGGCTCACAGGGATGGTTAATTATGGCACCCCCTCAGTCTCCCCCCTTCCCCTTGAGCTAGCTGCAACCTGCACCAAAATTGTGGAGGAAATGCATTTTCCAAGCCTGGTAACGCAAAATACGGTGGGCTGGCTTGGACTGGAATGGGCAGCTGAGACCTGTCAGCTATATTACCGAACGGCTCCCAGAGCTGCAAATCAACGCAGCGGCCTGCAGTTCTGAACTCCCTCGGGAGGGTGGCTGTGGGGAATGCCATGATTAGCCACACTTCAGAATGCTCCAGCGCAACACTTCTGCGCACTGGGGAAGGAAAACGAAGGCTCTGACCTCCGTCAAGTTCCACCTGAATGCTCAAGGGTTCCTCATACGCGGTCCTGCAGGAAGAGCTGTTCCCTGCCTCATTCCTGCTGAAGCACCCGGTGACGGTCAGCGTGTCCATTTTGTCTCGGACAGTCATCAGCTTTTGAGCTGTCACATGCCATTCGCTGGTCGTGCATTCCACAAAGATGGTGAATTCGCCGGGAGACGTGTATTGGTGGGTCATGTTGCTGGAGGAGCTTGAGAGACAAACGGACAGTGTTATCAGGGCCCACGGGGAACCTGCCACAAATGGTTGCAGTGTGGAGCGCTCCTCCCCCGGGGTCTCACTAGCGAGTGATGCATGCCCACTTTCCAGAAACTCCATTCCATCCCCTCTACCCCACCTCTTTCCATTCAGCTGCTAGTCAGCATTCCACAGCTTCCACAATGAGTTATTCAGGGCTTTTCATAAAGATGTATCATACTTCTGCAAACCTTGCAGCATGCCCTAAGTGTACAGATAAATTATGGCTACATGAGGATTCCTACTTGGAGACAGAGAAGATCAGGCAGCTAAGGGTGTGTATATGAAAACGGTGGCCCCAACACCCTCGGCTTCCTAACTCACTTCTTTGCAGCTGAGCAAACATCTCACTTTCCACAGCTATTGTTTTGACATTTATTTATTAAATTCATATCCTGCCTTTCTCTTTTTTAAGGAACTCGGAGTGGCTTATATCATTCTTCTCTTGCTGATCTCAATCTTATCCCCACAACAACAACCCTGCAAGGTAGGCTGAGCTGAGAGTCTGCGGCTGGCCCAAAGACTCCCAGTGGGCTCCATGGCTGAGCAGGGACTAGAGTCCAGGCCGCCTGAGTTTCAGCCCCGTGCTCTTAACCACTGCGTCACACTGAGTCTCCAATACTGAGTACATAAGGACTACTCTATAGCTAAAAAGTTCCTAAGTGATGATCCCCAATAACATCAAAATTCATAATTTAAAAGACATAGTAATTATGCCAATGAAATGGCAGTTGCCTCTTCGATCATGGGAAGCCAGTTTAACAAAGACTGTTTTAACAAAATGCCCCAAATGGGGTGGCCTTTCTTGTCAGGGAATTTAACAGAAAGAGAGTGAATACCTCAGGAGCACCATGGCCTGCCATTGCCTGCGAGAATACCGGACTACAGATTTAATCATCATAAATAATTATGAATAGAATCATATTCAAATTTGTTGTTGAAATTTTACAGTAGAAAAATTAATTAATAATTAATAAATGAACAAAAAAACCCTCAAGTCTTACCATAGCACTGCTTCATTTAGAGCATATTAAGCCGTCCTGAGATGCCATGCATACAGGACGGCATATTAAAGTTTTAAATAAATAAATATTACTGACATACAATGAAAGCAAAATGCCCAGCAATAGTGTAAACTTACGATGGCGGGTAATAGGGATCGACAGTGTTTCCGTCTCCAGTGCTAACGATGCAGGAGAGGTTGCCCGAGTAAGGCAGGAGCAGCCATTTCAAGGATATGGTGATATTTTCAAAGACAAAGCTTGTCTCGGTTACATTCAGCTGCAAACCTGTAAAACAACGCATAGTAACAGATCACCTTTGGCATACCCATTCAGCATTCCCACAAAACTTCCTTATACAATGTTAGACCATTGCTCCATTTCGTCTATCTGCTGCTGTTGTTGTTCAGTCTCAAAGTCACGCCTGACATCTGAACCCAGTGAAGGTGGGTTGTTGGTGTGGTTAACAAACTATCTGAAGCTCTAAAAGAGTCTATAGGTTCTGGGTGGTTTGTTAACCATGCCAACATCCCACTTTACCAGGTTCAGACATCACACAAAGCCATGGGTGCAGTGACTTGAATATTCATAAGGACATGCTACAGTAACCGCATCTTGAATAAGCCACAGTGGGCTGCTGTGACTGTATGAACCCAGTCAATGACTGTCCTGTCCCCCCGCCCCCCCAGCCCCACTGCCCTCAGTTATATGGCTGAAAGGAAGAACGCTTGGGTGTCCAGTTCTGGGAACCCAATACAAGAAAGATGCAGGCAAACTGGAAAGGTTCAGAGGAGGGTGACTAAGATGACCCAGGGACTGGAAACAAAGCCCCATGAGGAGAGATGGAAAGAACTGGGAATATTTAACCTTGAGAAGAGAAGACTGAGGGGAGATGTGATCGCACTCTACAAGTGCTGAAAGGTCTGTTGCCAAGAGGAAGGGCTCTCCCAAGATGGAGGCAATCAAGATGCAGCTAGCCAGCCATCTGAGAGGGATGATTTAACCTGTAGTCCTGTGCTGAGCAGGGGGTTGGACCTGATGGCTCTCTGGCCCCTTCCAACTCTATTATTCCAGGATTCTGTCAGGAATAGATGTTTGTTCACAGTGTCAGTTTGTGCTGGTTCACGGTTTACCGGGACACAGCACCGACATTTTTTTAGCAGGATGCGTCCTCCCGTTCTCTAGGATTTCCTGTTCTGTCTCACATGACTATAAGACCCCAGTGTAACTGAGGATCATGAGATGCACCACCCAGAGATTCCTGAATACTCACATGCTTAATACTAAAGAATTCTAATGCTGGGAATTGATTTTGCGTAGCAGAACTGTTTACTGCTGAAATGAGGAAACGTTGGCGTTGTCAGAAATCCTGGCTGATCTCCTGCAAATCTAGAGAGGTGGAGGGGCTTAATCCTTCTCGAGCGTCCCCAAGGAGCTGCCCATCCCTCACCTGCCTCCCATCTGCTCAGGTGCCCTGCTCACACCTCAGCCTGTAGCAACATCCCCAGCCTTGTGAGATGGGTGAGGGTTGGAGATGGCAGCTCCATCTGGAGTCTAGATCAGTTGGCTAGGCTACATTGATCTAGGCAGGGCCCCCCTATCACTTACTTACTAGGACAGGAGAATCTACCTAGTACATGGGCCTTATTTCCCCTCTCTCCTGTTACTGTCCTTTGTCTCGTATGAAGGGGCCAACTGGAATTCCTTCCTCTGTATAATTACTGAAGAAGGTATGATTTGCATTTGGTGGCCCGGCTTGGAGGGCTGACATTCAATACTGTTAAGGGTAGTTTTGCTCATGAGGCATCTTCTTCCATTTGGCAATGCAAATACTTTGGCAAGCTGCAGAGTCATACTTATACATTTATATTTATTTATTCCTTTCATTTATATACTAGTCAGAAAGGCTCTCTGGGCAGTTTACAAAGTTAAAACACATAAGCAAAGATAAAAAATAACAATGTCACAATAAAAACAGTACAAACAACCCAAAAACAAGAATAATAAAAACAGCTCCAAGACAGCTAGTGAAATTGATACACAGATATAGCAGTGGCATCTAATAAAAGCCTATTCAACCTGCAATGTTAACTATTTGGGTGGGAAAGAAAAAGATTTTCACCTGGCTCAGAAAGGAAAAAAGCACTAAACTAGCGACACCTCTCCTTCCTTTTCTCTTTGCAAGTGGGGGGGGGGGTCTGCTTTTTCACCCAAGAACCTTAAATTAAAGTTTGAGATTATCTTGCATTATTATCAGTGCCTGAGAAAGCAGCAAGAAGGAAAATGCAATGCCAATAAGCTTTTAGGCCAACTTTCCCAGCACAAGCCGGATGATGCAGGTGAGAAAGGTTGTCACAATGCAACGAAAATGAAGGCAGAGAGGCTCAAGGGCAATTTTAAAATGACATGGCAGGGAGGGGAAGACAAATTTCAAAGTGCTTCGGAAAACATTCTGCAGGCTGGCATACCCGCCACGGCAGGCTCGGGGTATGGGAATGGTAGCCCAATATGCATTGCGAAACATCATGCTTTTTTGAAAAAATCACGCTTGCAGCAGATTTATGGGATTTTCCTCATACACACAGGCACACGAATGTGGGCTATTTGCTTCCATGCTGGGTTTTTTAGGGGTATGAATTTTCATCACCAGAGTAGGGCCATCTATTTTTCTGTCTGTGAAACGAGATGGCTCTGCACTGGGGCAATGTAGTTTTTACGCTTACTTGAAAGCTCAATATTTTCTGCTGGAAGGAAAATGGCTGACTGGCTTCCCAGAGGCTGATTCAGTCATTTGGGCCCAGCATGGAAGTCACTGGAGAACGCTTTCCAACCTGGTAGTGTGAGCAAAAAGTGGTACTGCTTACCTTCCATGCAGTGGTACTGAATCGACAGGTAGCTTCCCAAACCCGGGCACGGGTCTCCAAAAAAGGTCCCATCAGCTGCTACTTGGCAGGCTTGGAGTCCATGACACTGCCCTGCATGGAGTGATTCAACCATTTTATTTTTGAAGAACTAGGAAGGTAAATGTGAACACACTGAAACACAGGTTTAAAGTTGGGTCACAGGCTGTTCTAGGTCAAGGTCTGATTTACCCTGCACAATGTGGTGCAGGTCCCTCTGAATTCGGTCAAGTTATTTCTGATGATATCTAAATGAATTATTTTTATTTTTATGATGTTTGTTTTAGTTATTTTGAATGATGATTTGCCTTGAACCCATACAATAAAAGTGTCTGTGTATTGTAATATATTATAAAACATATGTTATATAATATATTAGGGCTGTGATCCAAGTAAGGCAGTAGTAATTAGTTGATTCCTGATTTCGCTGATCAAAGATGTGATCAACTGGTTAAAGCTGTATAAATTTGCATAGGGATAAGCAAGACTTGTGTCTTTTATTTAGTTTTAGATCATGCTTATGTGCATCGTGACAGCAATCCTTTCGGAAGATTTCCGTGTGAGAGAGGGATGCCTCTTTTAACATTCCATCTGGATTTTTTTTCATGCCTGCTTTTTTAAGTGGTTGTGAAAAGCTTGGGAGGTCAGAGTTAGCAGGAAGAAACAAATACATCCACACTTGTCCATGACCGGAAAAAAACATCCAAAATCTGGAAAATTCTTTTATCAGGACCAAACAAAACACCACAAAAGTGCAGCCAAGCTTTTCCGTTTCCTAGAACTCTTCATCAGGTTAGGTGGTACAAAAACACCCCAGAAGTTGTACAAAGATTAGACCACATGCTGTGGCCACTAAAAGTGCCGTCTATGCTCAGGGTGAAGACAGCTGGGGGAGTCCCAGCCTGGAGGTCCCCCGCCCTGCCCTCCCACCCCCAGCAGCCGGCATGGAAGAGTGATGCCAGCTCCTCTTTGGAGGCTGCAGCCTGGGATGCGCCAAATGTGCATCAAGGTGGGGCAGCACCGGGTGGCACCCTTCTTGTGCCTGGTCCGTATTTATTTTCGTAGTGTATTGTACCGTGGTGCATTGTGAGTATTGTAGATATCGGATTGTACCTCGCGTCCGAGCACAGAGAAGCAAAGGCTGTATGTCTAAAAACTGAAATGCTGGCTGTAATTTGTATCTGAGACACCTTCCTAAAGATGGGAAGAGCAGGAATAGAGAAACGGTGCAGCAGTGTCCATTTCATAGACACAAGGCTGCCTGTTTTTCTGTTGTCTGCCACCATTTTATTGACTCGGAGAGGCTGAGATGCAACTTGGAAGGGGACGTAAATGTTTTCCCTTGTTATTATAATTTGATGAAACTATAATATTAGTATCTAATATTCTATCTTTATTCATTTTGCTTTTTCCTTTGCTTATATAATATGTTTTTCTTTATATTAGCAAAGTGTTCTGGATCACATTTTTAGATTATGCTGATGCTTGGGGTAATCTTTTGTTTGAATAATATTGAATAAATAAATTATTATTTTATTTTATTTATTTTGTATTTATAAGCCGCCAAGATAGACTCTTTAGGTGGCATATTTACTTATCACTCTCTCTATATATATATATAGAGAGAGAGAGAGAGGGAGGGAGGGAGGGAGGGAGGGTAGTAAAATCATGATATAAAATAGCATATTGTAATTTAAAATACATTAAAATTATGTATATTAAAATCTGTTTCAAATGCACTGTCCAATCAATTGGGAACAGCTCCTCCAAGCTTTTCAGGGTGCAAAGCTCTGCACACTTAGCCAGAAAAAAAGGCTCCCGACTCCAGCACACCCCATCCAGCCAAGGTGTGAGCCCTTTTCCTGGCTAGGCCTACAAAGGATGGCACCTGAAATCAATTCCTCTAATGGATTAATCAAGTGACTTTCACAGCCCAGAGAGAGCACACACTATTTTTACGGGCAGGGCTTTTTTTGTCATAGAATGCACCGGAATGGCATTCCGGCACCATTTTGTGACGGATTTTTCCACGTGATTGTGAATCGCCCTGTTGGGCATAGCAGGTTGGCAGCAAAAATCATTAACATAGTGCTTGTGGGCTGCTTGTGTGTTGGCGTTGATTGTGAGGGCGCTGCTCGGCTTGGGATCAGTCGTGTGGTCGTGCACTGAGTGCTTACTGCCGGCGGCGACCATTATGTTTATGTGTGTGTAGAGTGACTGGCTACATGCTAAAGGTAAATAAGTTCTTTATTTCAAAAAAAGTTGGTGAATTGAAAATCTTTTTTAGTGTAAAAGTGTGACCCCAAGACTTGAGTTCGGACACCTTTTTTTTTTACAAAAAAAGCACTGATTACGGGTATGTTTTATTTACTTTTGTTTGATCCTGCCTTTCTCCCACACAGAATGCAAGGCAGCCTCCATACTCTTCCTCTCCATCTCACCATCACAGCAACCCTGTCAAGTAGGCCAGACGGAGGTCAGTGTCTGCCCCAAAATCAGCCAGCAAGCTTCGTGGCCGCGCAGGAACTAGAACCTGGATCTTGTGAGTCCCAGTCCAATATTCCAACCACCACACCATTCCAGCTTTCACAGAGAAAGAACCTGAAACTGGGATAGCTATACAGTCCTGTTGGCTTGCTTGTTAAAAAATCCATTCCTCTCAATTCCCTTTTCCATGTTACTGCAAAGCTTCATCATCATTTCCTTCCTTCTCCTTCCTATTTCTGCAGCCTTCCAATTCACAAACCCCAAACCCTTACCTGCCACTTCATCCTTTACGCTGATCCAGCTGCATTCCTCTTCAACATCAAACTGCAGGGCAGTCTCCAATACACAGTAGTGAGGCGTTTTCCGTCCATAGAAGCTGTCTCCAATCTGGATTACCTCTCCAGAGCCACACTGCACCGTGGCATTAAAGTTGTCGCACGCAATGCTTTGGCCTGATTCTGCACAATAAGGATGGAGAAGTGTGCCATTGGTGGCAACCGCAGAGACCCTTTGCGATAGCCCCACCTGCTGAGCGGTCACACAAGCAAAATGGAGGAAGGTACGCTCAGCTCCTGGGTTCTGAAAGGGTCTTCTCATCTTGCCGCATGTTCAACGGCCCATTTGTTTCCCTTCCTTTAAAGAAGGGTTTGAGGGGACCCTCAGCAGATTATCTGCTGAAAGATCTGCTCCTATACCAGAGAGCCAATGCAGAGTTATCTGGTGTCGCAGCAAAAAGAGGCAGCAAGGAGAGACCAGCCTTGAATAGCTTGATGCTGGGGCAGTTTTGTGTGTGTCCTACTTTACAGAGAATACATTCCTCTAGTGAAAGGTCTCCTTTACTTAAAGAGCAGTCCAATCCAAACCAGGCTTAAAATGAAAGAACTATAACAATACTGGGTGTTGCTCTGCAAGAATTAACAACTGGACACCAAATCTGAGTAGGAGCATAGATACACTGCATTTGTATTTAAATTGTAATTGTTGTTTCAAAATTGGTGCCTGTACATACCAATTAACATGCACAGACTTTGCAGAGCTGTTCTGTGCCTTCTTTTGCCCCCTTCTGGTGATGAGTAGTTTCATTTTAGGCGATGCATAATTGCCCCCCTGCTCAGAACTGCCATTTCAATTTCCCACTGTACCTTAGAGCATCGCTTGCATCAGCACATGCACTGGCTGCCTTCACACAAAACAACAAGCTACACTGAGATTGCCCTTATGTGTGAACCCAGCATTCAAGGTGAAGTGTGGTTTCCATGAAAACACTCAGAGAAGCAATGGTATTGAAGGAGCCTGATTCGTTTAACTAATGTTATCAGCTTTTAGCCTAACAAACGCCATTTGCTTTCTGTATAACAGCTTGCTTTGGAGAGGAAAAGGGAGAAGGCAAAGCAATGTTGATCAGCGGCAGTGAGTGAGAGAAGGCCCCCCAAACAAGGACTGGCACGCAGTGACCACGCTCCCCCTGGATGCAGATAAGGGGCCTTCACGAGGCCAGGCATGCAGTGGACATGCAGGCCCCATGCAGGCCTCGCAAGGGGATTGGTGAAAGGGTCAGGCCGACCCTGAGAGGGGATTGGATAAGAGAACAATGGGGGCGAGACTGAGTGAAAGAGAGACAAAAAAGCAGGATTGTGTGTGTGTTGCTGCCCGCCTGCGTGCGTGTGGGAGCAGTCACCCGGTGCCTTTGCTCAGCTGAATAAAGGAAACTAAAATGAATCTCCACCTTGCTGAACCTTTTTGGCATTTGGTTTAGGGGTCTGTAAGTCACCTGGCTAGCAGGGACACCAACAGTTTGTTTTAAGTTTCCATGCTTCCCATGGTTTGTCATTATGTGTGGCCCCCATTGCCATGTTTTTGTACGGTTTCCACATTTCTGCCATCGAGTTTGGTGGCAAGAGAGGCCACAGCTGCAGGGGATGCTCCAGCCTCCATGTTTCACTGTCCTAGTCTGCCTAGCAACTGCTGAGGCAGCTGCAGCCACGCTCTGATTGGCTGCTTTGTGCTGCCTTTCTCTTCTGCCCCACACTGCCATTCCGATGCTCAGCCACAGCTTTGGAACCTCGGAGGCTGCGGGGCATTTCAGCACACCACCTCCAGCAGCCGCGGCCACGGAGGCAGGCGTGCCTGGCACTCCAGTCTGGTTGCCACACTTTGAAATGGCTGTTCTGCTTGGTGAGCCAGCCATGTGAAGGCAGCTTGTACTTACCAATTTAAAGACAGGCTGGCCAGGCACATGGTGGGCATGTCATGAGCGGAGCCAGCTAGAGCCGGGGGTCAGACTAGATGGCCCGGGAGGCCCCTTCTGACTCGCTCTGTTTCTATGTTTCTTGTTCCCACTCTGCTTCCTGCCTTCCCTGCCACTGCTACCAGGCCTGTGCAGGAGGAGGGTGGATACGTGTATAGGGAGGGGGCAGAGGGGCATGTGAGTGGGTACGCTTCCACGTTGGTTCAGAGCAGAGCATCAGCACAGAGCATTCCTGCGGGGCTTTTCTAGACCAACAGAGCTACTCCAGTGCTACTGCAGTGAGTAGTGAGTTGCTTTGCAGAGGAGCAAAAAGAAAAAGGGAAAATGGCTGGTTGAGGCCACGCCCAAGGGAGAGTGTGGCCAGCCAATCAGGGAGAGGCAGGTGGCACAGGCAAGAGCAATGCACACTGGGAATGATTTCCAGCACGGGCCTGATGGTGGCCAACAGGTGCCTCCACTGGGGGAAGATGGAGAAGCGTAGAAACCACGTATACTACCAGGGTCCAGGTCATGGGTGGCAGGAAAGAAGACAGAAGCACTGGGGCCCAGGCAATGGGTCCAAGACAAGTCCATGCAAGCCCAGTAGCAAACCTCAGCCACTAGTCCGAAAGCATGCCTAGATCAGGAACAGCAAGTAGGCATGGGTCAAGGCGACCAGGTGAACAGCAGGAGCGGGAATCTTAGGCAGGAAAGCCAGGCGGGGTTTCAGAGCAACAAGGCACGCAGGCCAAGGTGAAGCGAGACAGCACCAGGATCAGGCTGGTGATTGGTAGGCACTGCGGTGAAAAACTTGCAGCTCTCCTAATGTTTTGGCCCTGAGCTGCCACCTGATCGTTGGCTGTGCTGCCCGGCAGCTGCTCATTGCTGCTCGTAAGCCCAGACATCTGGAGGGCCACATGCCCACGCCTGATGTACCCTGTGAAATGCACCTGAATGTCAAGCATGTCTGCCTTTGTTCCAAAGAACGAACGGAATGAAAGTGTGCCCACAATGACTTAATGCAACGGACATTTTTTACCAATGGCTTGAGATGGACTCAGTATCTCTTACCAAACTCGCAAATGAAGTCAAACTCCTGGCTGCAGTTCTCTGTTACGCCCCACTCATACCCAGAGTTCTTCAGGATGTAGCCGCATGACGACGCAAGGACCGAGACGGGATCTTGGTGCCATTTGCTGTAGGTAATGTTTGAGGCATCCAGCCAAATCATGGACCCTGCGCCAAAAGCAACTAGCACAGTTTAGTGTAGGTGTACCAATAAGGGGATGGGGTGGGGGGTGATATTTTGATCAGCATTCTGACTCATTGCGACCCATGGCTGTGTCACATGATGCACACACCACCCAGACCTTCTTGTGCTATTTCTGCCAAGATTTCTTCAGATCGGACATATTATGACTGTTTTGCATGTGGTTTTCTTCTGGTATATGTTTGCGCAAACAGAAGAAATCCTAACCTAGAACACTCTCAGCTAACAGAGGTTAGTGTCTCCAATGTCAGCTGGGGGTGGATCCACTAGGTTGAGCTTTGAAACAGCAGTCCATGGTGCTGAACTCTAGACCCCAACTGGGTTCGGCAGGTGAACTGGGTAGCTCATTTAAAGTTTGGGCTGAAACCAAGAGTGGTTACCCCACCCCACTAACACTGGCACCATGCGCCACTCCTTCCCTCAGCAAATGACTGACCGGCCTCTGCTTGATGGTCTCCAGGCAGGGAAAACTTACCAGTCCTTTGGGTGTTTGGTTTATTGCCAATCTACTCTTACCAAGAAGAAGTTTCTCTTGACGCTCAGACCAAATTTGGCGCTTGTAATTTTGGCCCATCTATACCAACATGGTCACTGCAGTCTTCATCCAAAGCTGTCCTCTGCATTGCCTCCCCCCCCCCCCGCCAATGAAGTGAGGGGGTTGCAAAGAAAAGCATTTTCTCAAGTACAGAACCCCACGTTTAAGACTCGATCTGGTTGGTGCCAACTTCAGGCACCAACTAAAGACATATTTGTTCTGTAGTTACTTTAATTAGGTTAATTCTGGATTAATCTTGATGCTTAATCCTAATTTTTATGTTATGTGCTGCTGGCAATATGTTTTAATTGCTAGGTTGTGATATAATTAAATTTCAATGGTTTTTGTCCTATTTTTGGATTTCATCTATTTTATTATTTTATTTTGTTTATTCTGGATTTATTGAATTTTCATCATTTAGCTATGATTTTATTGCTATTGGTCCTTTAGTTGTGTATTGTCACATTGTCTTTGTATTGTTTCGTGGATTTTAATATGATGTAAGCTGCCCAGAGAACCTGTGACTAGTGGAGCGGCATAGAAATTGAATGAATGAATGAATGGAATCAAGACTGGTGCAGTGAAGAGCACGTTTGTGTCCCCTTCTGTGGGAGACGGCATTCACTTGTGGGCAGGAGCAGTCTGGTTAAAGCTGCAATCCGCAGGAGGGGATCAAGTCCCACCCAACTCAGCCGAGCTTGTTTCCTAATCGTTACAGTGTTTGGCTTCACCCTTCGGGTCTGGCTATCCTGCCATAGCTGCTTGCCAGCATTGGCCATCATTCCATTTGCAGGTGGAATGTGAGTTTTTAAAAAACCAAATCAGAAACAAAAACAAAATGCAAACATCCTAGCAAAGAGGATATTTGCCTTGCTAGGTACATAAGCACTTGATCAGGGAGAAGTCCTGGTAGCTGGGACGGTATCACTTTGTCTGCCCGTCGCCACTGCCATTGTCTGATGAAACCCACAAGTGAGGCAGAAAAGCCTCACACATTTCCTCCTTGCCTAGTCCATTTTCTTTTGAAAATAAAAGTGCTGCTCTGGTACATGGTCTGTGACTCTCCAGCTTTGGTTTATTTGTACTGAGGGAGTTGGGTCTTTTCAGCCTGGAGGAGTCTCAGAGGGGATCTGTTGGTTACATACACGTATGTGAGGGGATGTCACATGGAGGTGGGTAGACCTGTTCTCCCCTGCAGAGGAAGAGACACGCTCCAACGGAGCAAAGCTCAGGGAGCCAAGGTTCCATTTGGATGCCAGGAAGCACTTCCTGACTGTCAGGACCCCGAGGGCGTGGAAGGGGCTTCCACAGGAGGTGGCTGAGGCCCCATCGGTGCGGGTGTTCAAGGATAGGCTGGACATGCACATGGTGGGCATGTCGTTAGCAGAGCGGGCTGGAGCCAGGGGTCAGACTAGATGGCCCGGGAGGCCCCTCCTGACTCGCTCTGTTTCTATGTTTCTATTTATTTGCTGGTTTATTATATTTATATTCCATCCTTTTTACTTTCAAGGAACTCAGGGCAGCTTACATCATTCTCTTTCTCCTGCTTTCAGTCTTATCCTCACAACAACAACCCTATGAGGTAGGCTGGGCTAAGAGTCTGTGATTGGCCCAAAGTAACCCAGGGAGCTCCATGGCCAAGTAAGGACTAGAACCCAAGGCTCCCAGATCCCCAGTCCTGCACTCTTAACACTGGCTTTTTATTAAATTTAATTAAAAATACAGCTATTAAAACTTTTTTCAGAAAGAAAGAAAGAAAGAAAGAAAGAAAGAAAGAAAGAAAGAAAGAAAGAAAGATGGTGGTTGAATATAAGATATATTATAACCAGTATTACATCCTGTAGAATATTTCCCATAATCTGTGTAGTGACCAGATTATGGATTGTGCCAGGATTCAATATTCAGAGAGTCTGCCACATGCCAGACTCAAAATGTAAGCAGCTGAACTTCTTAAGATTATTGATTCTGGTGTTGTCCTGGTACTGTGTTTGTTTATATTCTACCTTGCTTATAAGGCGCTCCAGGTGGCATCGGGATGGTTCCCTCCACTTCAGATTTTGTTCTCACAGCAACCCTGGGAGATGGATTAGGCTGGGAGGGTGACTGGCCCAAAGCCTCCCAGCCAGATTCATGGGTGAATAAGGATTTGAGTCGGAGCCTCCCAAGTCTGTGTCTGAGGCCCACACCCAACCTTCCTCAAGCTGGTGCTCTTCCAAGGTGCACAATGTTGGCCGCAGTCTTGTAGCTCAAGACACAGGGCATCAAGCTGGAACAAGCATCTTCAGCCACCGCACCAGGTTGACCTTCTTCCCACCCTCCCACCAACATTGTACAGAACAAAGCACTATTTTTCCTACCTTCAGCAGTTTCATTTGAAGAGGAACTAGAGGTTATTCCAATCCACCATTCCTTGTCCTCCGAGATGTGTTCCTCTAAGAACGCTTGGGTTGCTTCATTCTCAATGAAGACCAAATGACCGCCTCCCCGCTCACACCAACTCTGGGCACCGGTAAAAGTACGCTGGAATCTCACAAACTCATAGCAGGAATTATTGAAAGACACTTGATATTTTGAACAAGGTATCCCCTGTGCAAGGGGTAAGTCCTCTGTGGTCGAGCAGGGAATGAAGAATGCAAGAATTACGAGGAGAAGCTTCATGCTTGGTTGAGGAGTTCACCAAGTCCTACATCAGTATGGATGTGGCCTGACACCAAATGAGCAGTCTTTGAGCCAGTCTTCAGGTATCATTCTATTTCAGTGGCTGTTTTCCTCCCTGTTCCATTTGCTTTCCTAGTTAACACCAGCCTGGAGAATGGCTTGCTCCCAATGAAAAGAGGTTCTAATGCCCATGAATACAGACAGGGATGTACTGATGGAAATGAGAAAGACCATTGTGTAACAGTCGAGCTCTAAATCAAGGCAGTGTACACAGCGGGCTTTAATTTATCACCTTTTATGGGAGAAGAGACAATTCCTCCGATATGTGCACTTACTGGCCATATGGCAACCAGAGATAAAAGACCATGTAAACAGAAGCTGTTCTACTTTTAGCAGCTTGGCATTCTACCATAAAATAAGAATTTAGAAATCCAGAAAGCTGGCCCACCAACATGCTCAGCCAGAAATTCTGTATCCACAGTGCCATGTGCACCAAGGCAAGCATCCAGGCATGATGCACCTGTACACCCAATTCTACTGATTCTTCACCCCCAAGAAGGTGGTGGAAAGGGCTCACAGTGATTTGTAAGCATATTCACATAAACAGTATTCACATAAAAAGCTGGGATGAAGCAAGTCCCTTTCCATAACTGAACAGAAGTTTTAATACTTGAAACTGAATTTGCTTAGCTCAGTTCATCAGCATCAGCATCTCTATACCACCCAACATCCAAAGCACGTAAAGCATCTTAAAATACATGCCATATAACATAATATAAATTCTGTAACATACAAAATTTAACCAGCTAAAGCATTGGCAATGGACCTTATAGAAACAAACAACATCAACACCCTCTCAGATGTCTGGGGGCAGAGCCATGTACTTGAAAGGTGGTCACGCAGGGGAAGGCCAGGTTCTCTTCTCAGTCATCCCAGAGTGAAGGACATGGGACAACGGGCTCAAGTTACGCAATGCCAGGTTCCCCTGAACATCAGAAAGACTTCTGGCTGGTACCACCATGGGACCCATGACGTAGAGAGGTGGTGGGCTCTCCCATGCTGTGGACGTTCAAGATGCAGCTGGGCAGCCGTCTGAGAGGGAGGGTTGAACTTGGAGTCCTGCCTGGAGTTTCCCTGGGCAGGGGTTTGGACCCAATGGCCTTCTTGATTCCTTCCAACTCTACCACGCTATGATTCTATGATTTTATGAGTCTCCTGACCCTATTCTCCTTGTGTCAAATTTAGGCTATAAAATACTTGGGGCAGGGACTTGTCTTCTGGTTCTTCCTCTATAGCATGCGGTGTTCACTAATAGAGCTCTATCAATGGCCAGACAGACCAGACAGAAAACACTACAGTGCATATTGAACCATGCAGAAGGTGTGACAATCTTAGGACAAAATCCCATTGCAGTGCCTACAAACCCCAAAACTCGGAGGCTCTGCTCATCCTATGCAGGACCAGGGAAGCGGTGGAAGTGATTCTGGCTCCTGCATTGTTCCACCTGTCATTTTCACTGAGCAGTCCTTTTAATCTAACCAGTGGCAGCCTTTCAAAGGAAAACAGACAGAGAGCAATCAGAACAACTTACATCCCAGCCTCCCCACCCCAAAATCGCCCCCTTTCCTCCTCTCCGAGGCTCTCTTCCCAACTTCAGAGAGGCAGATGTAGCCCAGCTCTGAGTGGCAGAGCCCTGATTGTCAGTTCCAGGGTTCACCCTAACCCTGAACTTGAATTTGGGAATCCAGAAAGTCCTATGACCCCCTAGATGCAGCCCAGTGCCATGGGATTGCTCCTGCCAGCCATAAAATTCAACACAGCTGGGAGGAAGAAGGAACGAAAGATGTTCAGGGAACTGTGCACTTTTCAGTTGGGTTGTTCATACTTAATTTGGAATTCAGAAACAGAAATGGGATTATGTCAAGAGTCCACCAAAAAGGAGGAGAGAAATGTATGGCATCCCGTAGATTGGGGTTGGGGTTAGGGTAGAATGCATTAGGACTTCAAACTAGCCAATGGCTGTGCTCAGTGGGGATGATGGAGTTGTAGTTCAAATGTCTTCAAGACACTATTTTACTTAACAATTCAGAGAAAAAAATAGAATTTAAATAAGGATGACCTAGCTGGTATATTTACTAATCAGCTGTATATAGAAGATTGGTTAAAGAATTTTATGTTAAATGGAAAGCCTATCCTTTATTTAGCAATTGAGAGTGTTATGTATAAATGTATTTGTATACTTATATGTATTTGTATATTTATATACATATATATGAATTATGTATACAATGCTCAAATCAGTGTAATTGTTTTATGAAGCAGAAAAGGGAAAAAACAAGTTAATTGTCAGTGTCTTTATTGATATGTTACAAGGTGAATTTTTATTTACTTGATACCCATGTTAAAGTTTTTTTTTGTAATAACCCTAATCTGGTTGTATTTGGTTATGTTTGAGTATGGTTTTACATATTTTTATTATGTTAGCTGTTTTAACAATTCACTTATTTTATTGGTTTTATCCATTTTATTGATTGTATTTTATATGTCAGTTTCAGCATTTGTAAGCAACCCAAAGAACCCTTGGGATTACAGGATGGCATAGAAGTAGAACTAAATAAATAAATTCCCGCACTTAGAGCTATATGCAATTTTTGTGTAAGGTCTCTTGATATCTTTTCCTTTCTTTTTCATGTTACTTTTTGCCTTATATCTTTATATATAAATTTCTTTAATTGCCTTGAAGACACCGCCTTGGAGAATGCTACCTAAGGTGCTCTGGGAATTTTGGGCCAAAAGAGGAGAAAGGGGTGAGTGTATTAAGTAGTGGTAAGAATATCAGACCAAGGGCCAAGCCATACATTACCTATATCAAATGCTTAGCTAGCACATCTGCCTTTTTAAACAATGGCGTTCCAGGCAGTTGGCAAGGGATTTTCATCAGGACCACACTGTGTGGAGTGGGATAGATGCCAAGAAACATTCTCCAATTCCCAGACTTTGGTAAAGCTCTGGACTTTGGGGGAAAGTACCATTTTTGTTTCGATGGGGTACTGATTGAATGGATAAGCAGGTAAGCCTACATGTTGAAACTGCATGAATGAAAAATGGTGCCGCATACAATTGGCTGGCTCAGCAATTCAGCACCGTGTATGAGTGCTTTCAAAGAGCAACCAGAAAGACTCCTCAACTGAGTGGCTTTTCTTTTTACATCCCATCTTTGCTTTACAACAAATGATGCCCTTGTCTTACACAGGCAGGCCATTTTTCCATTGCAAAAAGCTTGCTGTCCTGGTAAAATTTACTCTGCATAGCCCCAGCGATTCCTAGATGCTGGCCCATCTGCTGAAAATATTATCCTTCACAATCTCTCGAATCAGGGTAGAACGCTCTCGGTGAAATTACCCTCTCTTGCCTCCCCATTACAAGCAAAACCACTCAAGAGGGCATTAGAGGATAAAGGCGGTTTAAGGCAAAGCCAGGCCTTGTTCAGTGTGTGAGCTCCTGGGATGTATTTTCTTCTTCTCTCATTATGTTCTGTAGCTGGAGCTCGGAGGGGCCGCAGCCCTGAGGCAGCACGTAGCTTCTGCCCCTCTCCGCACATTACAGGGTTTAGAAACGGACTTCTCAGACTGACAGCCGAGGTCAGCCGGGGTCAGCACCAGCTCCAGGCTTGGGAGGGCCCTTAGGCAAGGCGCCGTCATGAGACCGCCCGCTCACCCCGTGGCTGCCAGCCGCTCTTCCTCCTCCTGCTCCGCACCACCACTGCTGCTTGGCCCAGAATGGGAGGCAAGCAAAGAAGCAGGAGGCCCTGGGAAGAAGAGGAACGAGTCTGGGGGGCTGTCAGGGGCACGCCTACGTCTGGTACCAGCCCTGGTCAAGGTGAGCAGTACCAGGCAAGATGGGCTCCTGGGTTGCCTCCATTGGAGCGCTCCCGTGTTTCCGTTCAAGATCTGCTTCTGCCGCCTCCAATCAGCCAGTGCGGAGGGAAGGCACCCAACAGATTGGAGGATCTTCTTGGCATCACAGCTCAAACCAGCTATATCCATGGGATGCTCATTGTCTTGTTTGAAAAACCAGCTGCATAGATCCACCGCACTCCCCCTCAGATAGGCTGGATTATATAAACAGCTTGGGAAGCCATTCTGCAAAATGGGTGGGAAATGGGTAGCCCAAACTTCCACGGGGATCTGGGAAAGTAAGATAAGAGCTTGCTAATGGACACAGAAAAAAGTTTGTCAGGTATGCTGTATTTGGCTAGTCTAGCCAAAATTGGTCTGTTGCAATATAAGCAAAACAGAAGCTGCTGGAACTCCTTAAAGTCAGGATGCGGAACTCAGAGCCCAGGGCCAAGTTGGGCCTTGTAAGGTTTGTTCAGTATGGCCCTCTGTAGATCCCTAGATATTTGTTTATTGTTTTTTATACCGTCACCTAGCCAGAAAGGCTGTCTGAGCAGTTTACAAAGTTAAACATATAAACCATGGGTCCTCAAACTAAGGCCCGAGGGCCAAATCCGGCCCGCCACCCCCTTTTAACCAGGCCCGCCCCACAGGTTCTGCACTCGTAGGGTGCGGGTGCACGTGCACATGGGCGCGCGGCTTGCTTGCGAGGAGGTCGTTTTGGACCAGCTCAGAGAAAATGATCTCCCCGCAAGCAAGCCAGCTCCTCGCCGCATGCCGCGTCCCCACCCCGCCTCGCCTCGCGTGCACCCTGCCCCCCCACAGGTCCGCCAGCACGGCCTTGGCCGCCTGCACCCACCGCTAGCACCTGTCAGTTGGCCCCCTTCAGAAAAAGTTTGAGGACCCCTGATATAAACAAAGATAAAAAACACTATCAGAATAAAAATAGTAACACCAACCATTCCACATCAATAATAAAAACACCCCCTAGTTAAAGGTACAGTAGCAGCAGCATCTAATAAAATCCTATTAAAACTACAAGGTTGACTATTAAAATGCCTGGAAAATAAAAAGGTTTTCACCTGGCACTGAAAGGAAAAACAA